CGATCCTTGTGCTTGCTCAAGCTTGTTTTTATGGAACAACAACACGGTTTTTGTGCAACTCTGCTTAATTGCGTTTAACATTCCTTTCACAACAGCTGTCGGCCCAAAGAGCAACATGTCGAAGCACATGTTTTCGCAAAGACCCCACCCTCCCACCCATGAGCAGTGTGTGCTCATGTGGTCTTTGTTGCATGCGTGGTACTCTTTCTATCTCGCGCCTATCGGGCATAACTGTGTGTGCGCCAAACTTTTCTCCAGGCTTCACATGTGTGAGGCGGTTGGACTCACGAAGATTGTTTGGTACAACCCTCGGTGTGCGTCACCCTAGTCACTGAGTCGGCTCTGTGAGTCACAAGTGCTGGTGATTACGAGTTCTCTTGGCGAGAGCTTGTGGTTCACTTGGCACCCTTTTCCAGTGGTGCATCAGGATGCTATCCTCCCTTCCAGGATGTATGTTGGTGTTTATGTTTCCTTACTGGTCGTTGCTTACAACGCTGTTTACGACGGAAGGGGGGGGATGCTTCTTGATAAGTCCGATACTTCGGTATCTTACTTACTCGAGTGCTTTCCACCACAGCCAAAAGAAGGAGGGGTCCGAGTGCAGTCTCTGTAGTTCGTGCGCGAGACCGGATGAATATTTCATAAATTCATACTTTATATATTATTGATTCTGGAATACATAACCTCGGTTTTCCCTTATGATATTTGAAAGCTTTGCTTACCGAATATCTGGTCCATTTCCATCGTGGTGTGCCGACGGCTGTTGTGAAATATAAAACCACACGGATACGGAGTACTGCCATGAAACTTGTAATAGGATATGAACTGTGGCGTGAAAAATTTTGATCACCTACGATTCCTTTAGGAATGCAGTTGTTCTCCTCTGTCCATTGTCGAAAAGCTCCCAGAGTTTCGGGCGCTTCCAGGCTCGTGAGAGCCGTAGCCCACAGGAGATTCGAAGCGACCAAAGCCAGGTAGGCTTTAGTGCCAAACTTAATCTCTTCGTGATCAACAAAAATGAGATCCCCGAAGGATGATGCTCTCAACCCTGCGATTCTGTCTCGCGGAGGCGTAGGCGCGGAGGTGCTACAAACACGACAGCCTTTGACAATGCGGTCGTACTTGTCATAGATCTCTCCTGGCAGCCCAAGCATGCTGGTCCTTCGTCGAAACTGAGCTGAACTCATGTGGTAATGCTTCACATGCAACTTGTAAAGCTCAACATCATTGTTCAACTTTTCCAACATGCGCTGATACTGTGGAGAAGCCCTTGAGACCTCGTGGCCTGGCAATGGAAGCGCGATCCTCCTAGGTTCTAGCGACTGAGCCTCTGGGGCTCTTGGAGGGAGCAAATCTGCATCCCCCGGTTCGGAAGGTTCGTACTCTTGAAGATCCGGATCATTTTCAGGAGCAAGAGGAGGAGGAGCCGGTTCCTTGAGTTCCTTTCCCTGAGGAAAGCTTCCCTTGGCTCGAATCCTTCTCGCTACCGGTACCTTTCCCAGAGGAAAGCTTCCGGATGCTCCTGTGTTCTTCGAGCTGTCTTCAGGCTTACCTTTGCTAATCATGTCCTCTGGGGATCCTACCTTGGCACGGGTTGGATCCTTGGACTTAGCTGGCACCGAGGTTCTACTCTCGATACCTCCAGGCAGAATCTTGAAGATGGTCCTACCGTTCCAAGAATCAGTAGTCCTTGATGAAGAAAGCTCGGAAGAACGCCAGTCATCTTCTTGAGTAACGCTCTTTCCCTTGGAGAACTTCATGATCGTCTTGCGCTTGTTGTCCAGATACTCCAACGGAATAGGCACGAAGCCCGCCTTGGGTTCGTACTTAACCTTCCTCATCTTCTTGTGGATGCGAATCATCTCCATGTCGGCTTCATTGATCACCCATTCATCATCCGTCGCCAACACGAGATTTTTGGGTACCTCTTCCTGAGAAGAGCATCCCACGGTCTTCTGATGGAAGCCGTACTCGTAGTGGGAGAAGTAGGTGAGGAAGCTCGACTTCTTGTGCTTGCTGAAACGCACATTCCACATCAACTGACTGAGTTCAAGAAGGTCAAGTACTAGGTGTGAGCTAGGTGCAACCTTCAGCTTCACATCCTTGATTCCCAGTACAGGGCTGCTAAGCAAGGCCTTTTCCGGGTGGAGTTCGAACTGGAAACGAAGATTGCGCATCTGAGGCAAGGACATGAGACTAGGAACATGCCCCTGCTCCACAATGCCGAACTCTGTGGATTGAACTGCATAGTCCCGGTCGTACATACAAATGACCAACTTCTGGTTGCACTTGGTCGACTCGGAATTGGCAAAGGTGAACTGAGAGGTGGTCTCAGCAATGGTGTACCATATGCCACAGTTCTGGTTTTTGTCACAGAACTCCATGAGGTCCTGTGCGGCCACTCTAGAAGCCATTGCTCTCGTGCATCCCAAATCCAACACCATCGCGGTTGGCGTCAAGGGCTGAGAGATGAAGGCTTCTTCGATCTCATTGATCTTCTCTTCGGTGGCCATGAAAGAAAGGTTCGGAGAGTTGAAGTGTTCAACGAAGAAGGTTGTGGCGGCTGTGGTGCCACTCGGGGCAGCATCAGCAAGCTGGGCTTGTCCGTCCTTTCCGGACTTTCCATCCTTTCCATCTTTGCCAAACTTGCTCTTTCCTTTGCCCTTCTTTCCTTTCTTTCCTTTTCCTTTGGCTGCGTAGGACTCCTCAGACTCATACCAGGACCAGTCATCCCAGGACTGATCGCTCCACTGGTAATCTTGCCATTGTCCTTCTGCCTGCCATGCTTCTGATTCTTCGGCAAGGTTGGACCTGCCTTTCTTCCTTTTGAAGAAGCGCCTTCCTTTGGATCCTTTGCCACCTTTTCCTTTGCCCTTGCGGTGGCCCTTGAATCAGCGCTTCATCTTGCGGCCTTGGAAGCGCCGCTGGAACCATGAGTAGTTCTCGTCGTCGTAGACCCAGAAGGCGTCCTCATCCGCTTCAAGGAAACCTTCTGTGCCATCCTCCTCGTCCTCGACCCAGTAGCCTTCATGATTGTCCAGGTATCCTTCATCGATCACAAGGAACGCGGCCACCGTGGCCAGAAGGAGCGAGGAGTGGATTGTCGACGGTAGTCTTGGTCGTGCAGAAGATCTCTAGGTAGACCTCACGCAGCTCGGTCACGTTGTAGTCAGCCAAGACTCGGTTCCGATGCGCCATCAGCGATGTCAACACCCGCCGCTGATCCTGTGTCAGATCGGACAGGGAGACAAAAATCAAGGCAACGAGGTTGGCCGTGATCGGAATGGTCCGAACATGCTGATCTCTGAGCCGTTCGTTGGCTCTCTCCATTGCCTGCTCTGGCGTGAGTCCTTCTTGTTCTTCTGGTGGAAGTCCTGCTATGAAGGCTCTGACCTCTGCATTGTTATTGTTCGGGTCCACGATCGGCAGATAGGTATCATTCCACGCTTCTTGCATCCTCTGAACAGAGAGTTGAAACCTGGTAATCCAACGAAGCATGTCTCCATTCCCGCGGTGCATGTTCATGAACTGCTGGAAACGGTAGAGGAAAACATTCGCAGCTCCCTTCACGAAGAGCGGCCGCAGGAAGCTCTTGAAGTACTTCACTCCGTTGGTTGGATCCTTCAGGCGATCTCGGTCGAGAAGCCTCTTGTGGATTGCTGCTTCACCTTCTAGCCGATTTCTCAAAGCTGGTCCACGCTTTTCATTGTCTAGCTCAGTAATGTCACACCAGTCATCGATCGCATCTTCGTAGGCAAACGAACTACTTCTACCATCATAAGATGGAGGTACTTTGGTGGTCACCTGCTGGAAAGCTGAAAGACGGTGTAGTTCATTGAGATGACGATGATTAGGCGCAAAAGATTCATTGCCATGAAGGAGGTAATCATCATCTCCTCCATCATGCTCAAAGATAGTCGCAGAGTGGCTAGCCATGGCGTTTTTCTTGGATCGAGCCCCGGGAGAAAACTCTTCCGGTTATCTTCACTTGAGTGAAGTGTACCGGAGAGACTCCGGTCACCTTCACTTGAGTGAAGCACACCGGGTATTCCGGTTGCCTCCACCTGTGTAGAGAGTACCGAACGGGTACCTCCACAAGTGTGAAGCTTCCCGTTTCCCGGGAGCTCCGCTACCACGTTGAGATGTAACCTGGACGTGTATCCCCTCGCTGAGGCGTACAGGAACACAGGCACTCAGGTGTCTCTTTTGCTACAGGCGCACAGCTGTAGTCCACTGCACTAGAACCTTGAGCAACAGGCATGGATACATGCAAGTGATACGTGAAACAGATAGGCACCTGGATGTGTAGCATTCCGTGTTTCACCCCCCACACCTTCCCCCACCCGCCCCCATCCGTCCCCCACCCCCCATCGGAGTTCAAACCCAGGTTTCGGGAACATTCCAAAAACCTATGCTCGGAGCAAGCGCGCGTGAACGGTGCAGAATGCATGTTTACGCACTTTTCAATTGGAAGTTGGAACTATAGTGCAAACGTCGCCGTCAAAAGTGCTGTCATTTGACGTGTGTGACATGCTTTCAGAAGCCTTAAGCGTAAGCTGCTTCACTGCATGTTGCAATGATCCCTAGGTTTTCTCCCAGCAACATTGATAACTTAAAGTTGGCACAAACAGCATGCTTGTATGATCTGCCTCAATTGTGCGCATGCACGCCTCGTCTGTTATTCATGCTTGCCACAGCCTTTCGCGGCGGCTGGCGGCCCCAGGCAGCGACATGCATAGTGTCACTCAGGGTTGACTATGCTCGCAGATTACCACCTGATCCGTAGCAGAGGCCCATGCAGGCGAGGCTCCCAGTGCAAGGGCCGCCAACAGCGCCTGCGTATCGAAGGCCCGGTGCCCCACATCGTGGAACATCTTGGAGAAGTCCTGTCATGTCATGTCTGAGAGTATGACAGGGTTGCGTCAAATTGCGACTTTCGCAGCTGTGAGCCATTTCAAAGCCCTGATTCGGCCCGACGCCGCATGTTTATGGCAGCAACAATGAGTGGAGCAGCGACGCCGCCTGGCCCAATTCCGAGTAGTTGTCTTTTTTTTTGAGCAGCTACTTCTGGCGCGGCAGTCAGAGCGTGTGTGTGTGTGTGTGTGTGTGTGTGCGTGCGCAAGATCTGAAAAGGTCGTTGTCGCCGTCGTTGCGCTCGATGGCCGGGAGCTTCGTAGGCCCCGCACCAGGATGCTCTGGAGAGTGTGCGGGTGGGAGGGCAGACTTTGTCTTAGGCCCAGGCGAGAGCCTCACGGTGGACTTGCTGGTGGGCCGCGCCCAGAGCGATGTTTGTGTGCTGTCAAGGCTCCGCATGTGGTCCTGGAGCCCAGGCATCCGTCCTCCTCCTGGTTTGTCGGAAGAAGGCTCTTCTTTTCCAGGCTCCTGTGCCTGGCATTCGGGTGGGCCTGTGATTTTTGAGCATTGAGCTTTCTTGTTCTTGAGAGGTGCCGGCACGGAGCCATGGATTAGCAGCGACGAGGGACACGAGTGCTTCTTGTGCCGCTGCTCCTTGGTTAGGAAGGGTACCCCTCTTTTCTGCAGGCTTCTCGCATCGGTTCTCATGAACGTGCTACTCGCACCAAGTCCTTTCTTGAATGCTTAATGCTCATGGCTGCGTCCCATGTTGGAGCAGATTGAGCGTGTTGATTGCGCTGTCTCCTCTCGATGGTGGCAAGTCAATCGGTGCCGCCCTATGTTGCCTTGTTGAGAGCGAGGCTGCCACAATGGGCGGGTAAAGCCCGACAAGAAGCAGCGGGCCGCCGTGAAGTCCATGAGTGCCTGGGCATGCTTTGCGTGTGCTCCAGCTTGCTTTCATGCCTGCATGATGGCCATTCCTGCCTCCGAGGCGAAGCACAGCTTCTCGATTTGCTCTTGGCGCAGCTCTCCATGCGTGCTCAAGAAGCAGGTCGTTTCGACACCCTCTTCCCGGTTCTGCAGGCGATCCACCGTCGTCTGTCAGTCTCATCGGCAGGCGAGTCCAACATATCCGGTGCTTCGCTGCGCAACTTGGAAAAGATGATGTCAAAGATGAGCTGCCAGCAGATGATCTTCTTCGCCAAAAAGAATCCGAACGTGAACAGTGGCATCATGCAGCTGGTGATGGATCAGATGACCGGCAGCTGCCCTACCGCACCGTTCGACTTGTCTGGTTCCTCCGTCTGGCTGTGAGCAGTCTCGGATTTGCGGAACCATTGCGATGCTCACAAAAGGTAGACTCTAGACTCTAGGATATTGTAGGATGGTCCAGACACTCCCGAAGGGACCCACCGGACTGGAAAGAAGTTTCTGAGTACCACGAGCCTTTGTTCGGCTCTGATGCGTATATAGCGCGGTTGGAGAGGCTGCAAGGCGTTCGCTTTGGGCCCTAGCCTTGGAAGTTGGAAGTGTGGTTGGCCAAGGTTCTCCAAGCTTTCGTGACAGTTCCTGCGTCTTTGTGTCTTCATGAATCAGACTGCTTCCTACAGGGGCGAGTAGAGAGAAGCGTTGGACGGTGGACTGTCAATAAGTCAACAATGTATTGAGCGCATCGGCTCTGCTCAGAGCCGATCGGACCCCGTGGCTGCAGAGCGGCTCGTCGTCCGTCGATTCGAAAGCCGAAACGGCGCTCAACTGTAGACGCCACAGATGGTGGTCTGAAAAGTGGCTCACATGAGCGCTCACGTGCCGATTGTATTTCCGGGCCGAGTGCCAGCATCACGCCTTGAACCTTTCAACATAGTACATTCTTTCCGACATTCGAGATGCCGTCCAGAAAGACACAGGACCTGCATGCTTGCAGTGCAGTGCTTGCAGTTGAAGCCTCGACCAGAAGCCGTGAAGTCGCAAGAGCCTGCAAAAGCCTGTATATACAAACCCGATTAGATTCACATACATAAACAGATTACATATATAACTACCATATATATATATATATATATATATATACACATACATATGTATACACACACATAGAGCACATACATGCATGCATGCATACTTACATGCTTACATACATACATACATACATACACATACACATCTCTGTTCCCATCTATCCATCTAGCCATCTGTCCATGTATCTCTCGACAGATAGATAGAGAGGCTGATAAATAAATAAATTCATAAATAATAAACAAATAAATAAATAAACAAATACATAAATAAATCTATATATATATATATATATATATAATATGTATGTATATATATATGTATGTATATGTATATACATATGTAGATGTTTAAGAAGCCAATAAGCTGTTCGCAGGCTTTCTGTTCCCGGGCGGTCAAGACCGAGGCCCAGTCTTTGAAGGCGCGGAGGGGGGGGCGGCGTCCGAGTACCTCAGACTCTTTCGATGAATTTCTGAGAGCTCTGCAGAGAACTTGAAGCTTCTGCTTTGCCGTGCTTTGCCAGCTCGGAGCCGTGGCTCTTGGAGCCGCCGTCTGCCGCCGCCGTGCGGAAGGACGTTCGCAGCTTTCCAGCGGCGACCTGGGCAGGTCCCCGGCGAGTGCTGGTGGATTTCGGTCTAGGTCTCTAGGCCATGGCGCGACATGTGGGCTTCCCCACACCTGTCTTCATAAGACATGCCCTCTGCCTCTTTTCGATAGCAGCACGACTCACGAAGTGTCTCCGCAGCCGGGGATCTGCAGTTAGAGGGGCAAGCTGATGGCCGTGGCCATGGACCTCAACATGCCACTTTACAAAAGGTGTGCAGGGCCGTGTAGGGTTTGGGCTTCTGTCCCCATGTCTGATGCTACGCGAGCGAAGATTGCGGCTGTCGTGCAGCCGAGGCATACATCGTTCTTGCAAGCCAGCCCGACTCTGCTAGCGGCTCGCCGCGAAGGCGGGCCTTCTAAGAGCTGCAAAGAAGTGTTGCCCCCGATGCGACACAATCGACAAGACGCGACAACGCACAGCAACTTCCGTGTTGCTGCAGGTCTCCAGCGAAGTCTTTTTGACAAGTGATGCTTGACTGGAGAAGTCGGACTCAACACTGGCACATCAAGCTCATGATTGTGCATCTGAGATGGGCTCCCAGTTCTTGATGTACAAGCCCCGATGCCGGCTGTACTTGGAGATTCTGACGAGCATCATGACAGTGTCTGTCCATTTTGCCGAGGCTTGTGCGACTTAAGCGTACTGAAGTTAGAAGCCAGCCATGCAGAAGTGGTGCTGAAAAGGGAGACATGACAGGTAGTCTGCCTTGTAGAGCGAGGCTGCCACAATGGGCGGGTAAAGCCCGACAAGAAGCAGCGGGCCACCGTGAAGTCCATGAGTGCCTGGGCATGCTTTGCGTGTGCTCCAGCTTGCTTTCATGCCTGCATGATGGCCATTCCTGCCTCCGAGGCGAAGCACAGCTTCTCGATTTGCTCTTGGCGCAGCTCTCCATGCGTGCTCAAGAAGCAGGTCGTTTCGACACCCTCTTCCCGGTTCTGCAGGCGATCCACCGTCGTCTGTCAGTCTCATCGGCAGGCGAGTCCAACATATCCGGTGCGTCGCTGCGCAACTTGGAAAAGGTGATGTCAAAGATGAGCTGCCAGCAGATGATCTTCTTCGCCAAAAAGAACCCGAACACGGACCCTGGCCTTCTACAATTGGTGATGGACCGGTTGACAGGCAGCAGTGCGAACACGCCCATGAGCTTCCCTGGTTCCTCCGTCTGGCTGTGAGTCTGATTGTGAGCGAGTCGAGGTTGTAGCACAGGACGTCTTTGTTCGCAGGGACCGGACCAGGCGACACGGTGGACTAACATACTACAGACGACTGGTGCAGGTACTCAGAGGCAGCCATAGAAAACTTTCCCACGCAGGCGATGGCTTCTGAAGCGTTGTTGAATGCATAGTTTAATCATAATCCATACGTACGTGGAAGAGCATCGCATCTCAGAAGATCCGCTCACGTGAACTTCACGCAGTTCCGAGCAGCTTGAACAGAAGCATGCTCGTTTGATTTGTGACGGTGAGAGGGGGTTTGGGTGTGTGCTACAGCATCAGCATCGGGAGCATGCGCTTGCGGTCAGCTACTCTGCTTTTCAACGCTCCTCCCACCGCAACCCTGTCGGTTGACCTGTTGTGGTCATATGTTGTGCCAGGCCCCCCACGGGTTCGAGCCCTGAAACCTCACTTCCTTCTGCTGTCTGCCGTTTTGGCTTTCTTTTGCGTGAGGGGACTGGTGAGTATTGGCGAGCTGTCTTTGTGACGGTGAGAGGGCTGTGTTCCGCAGCATTGGGAGCAAGCCTCCGGCAGTGCTCGGCAGTGCTTATCAAAGCTTCTCCCACCGCAACTCTGTCGGTCAATCTTGGCCTGTTGTGGTCATGGGTTGTGCCAGGCCCCTCACAGGTTCGAGCAATTGAAGCATACCTTCTGCCTGCCGGTTTGGCAGCGTTTAGACGAGGGGACTGGTTGCAGTCGGCGAGCGTTTCTGCTCACGCTGCCATTGACCGATGTACTTTCCTTTGCTTGGCCCGACGAATGGCCGGTGAGGGTGTCAACATGTGTCAACACAAGCTCCTCCCTGAATTCATTTTTGGTTGGTGTTGTTGAACTGTTGTTTGGCATTCTGAGCCCACCTCGCCCCGGTTTAGAACTCTTTCGAAAGGCCCAGCATGACAGGCTCGCACCTGGTGCATGTCGCCCCCGTCCTTTTGGGGGACATGCCGTTCCCGACGATGGGGAATCGCTCATCGATCCCCTGCCGTTGTGCCCGCTGATCTACACTAACCGTCTGCGGTTGGATCGAAAGGATCCGAATTCGACTATGGCCAGGGAAAGTCGGCCTGCATCGTTTCGCCATGTTTCGCCGCAGCGACGGTCATTTGAGAAAACGGTCCGAGCACGGCCTCGATGCTCTGAGCAGTCCCGCGAAGGGGCCCGGGCCCGTCCTTGCAATTGACCTGCATGTACTGAGTGTACTGCAGTCGCTGCTACATCGTGCAGTCCATCCCGGGCAAAGGCTTCAGTGGATCTCATGGCTTGGTTGGCGTAGCTTTTCAAGTGTCAGAGAGCGGCCAGGTGCCGGGGCCGTCGCTACTCGACCTCTGACTGCTGGGGAGCTTTTGGCTGAGGAGGCCGTGGGATCCTGCAGCTGTCCCACAGTCCCACAACTGGTGACCGGTTGCTATGTCGACACACTTGAGCAACCCCAAAGCTGCTAAACGCAGAACATAGAGAGCTGTCTCGGATGCGCTGCACGGAACGGCATCAACCCAGCAGATCTGATGCAGTGAGGGCCCATGGCTCGGCGGAACTGACCCCAACATCTCAGCCCGAGCCTCCCAAGGAATTGACAAGCGGCCCTGCTCGTTTTCGGTCCACTGTCTGGTGGTCGTGTGTGTAGCATGCAGTCATCATTTTTTCGGTGCTGGGATGACCGTGAATGAGTCCTCGGACCGATGCCCAAAAACAAGAAACAATAACAAGCACATGCCAAAGTATATGTTCGGCCCATTTGTCAAGTTTGCACATTTTCATGTTGTCACATCTCCATGCATTTACCTTGGTGAGGAGCCTCTGCTGCAGTGGTCTGGTGAAGATCAGGCCGGCACCGGTGTGTTTGGCCTGCGGCATGTTTTTGCTTGCCTGCGACAAACGTGCCACGTTGAATGTTTAATGCGGGTATGCTCATGTAGACGGCTTGTGAGGACCAGTTGCAGCAGCTTTTCGATGCGCTGCCGCTTGACAAGCAGCGTGCAATGATGGAGTTGCAGGCAGCCAAGCATGCACAGCTGATGATATTGTAGATGCGCACCCTGGCAGGACAGCTTTGCAGATCAAGACTCAGAGAAAACGTCCCTCGCAGCAAGCCCGGGGGCGAGTTCGAGCTCACAGATCGTGACTGAGGCTGCTCGGCGTAGCCTGCACAAATGCTTTCACCTTCCAGAACGAAGAGGAAGAGCGTTGCCTGCTTCATGGCTCAACTGGATGATGCCACAACCCTGCAATGTTTTGAAGCACGGCTGTCTCATTGGCAAGTGACTCGGAACCCGAAAGGGAATGCACACCACGCGGAAGCCCTCTACGCTCGCGGCGCCTTCGCGAGCACACAGGAGGCAGCGAAGAAAGGGATAGGTTGAAAAACAGCATGCGGAGCGCCCACCTGCGACTGCGACGGAGTTATTGCAAGCAGAAGTTATTGCAAGCAGATGAATGATCCCTGACTTCATGGGCTTGCTGCATGACGGCTGATGGACAGCAAAGTAAGCAGAAAGCCATATCCTGGATACTTTGAGTATCAGGATTCCTCGTTGTGAGGACTTCACTCGGGATCAGCAGGCGACGAGGCTGTTTCAATGAGAGGGCCAAGGTGCATTTCTGCACATTGTTGCTGGCCCTTTCGCACAGGCCAAATCCTCAGGTAGCACCCGCTGCAGAGACATCGCAGTCGAGACCGTTGCCCAACAAACTGTCGAACCACGTGCAGCCGAAAAAGCAAACGAAATACCAGCAAAAAAAGGAAGCTTCGCGACAGCCGGCTGCCTTACAAGCCATGCCAAGTCCTGCACTTGACCCTGCAAACCAAGACGAATTCATGCGAATGTGAGAAGCAGCAGTCGGGAATGTTGTTCTCAAGTCTTCTATCAGCTGCCGATGTTTTGAACGGGATATCTGCCTGTGATCGAAATCTTCTACAGTCGGAGGGTGGCTCAACAGCTATGTGAATCGGATCTTCCGCAAGCATCGCAATCATCAGGTATCTGGAGATCAGCCGCTTCAATCATTCCTGCCGCCCGAACTGTGAAGGAAGCTGGGACGAGCGGCTAGGCAGGCCCATGGTTCCAATAAAAAATTGAGGGACGATGCACAACTTCTTTTCCAGCCGCATCATCCTTCTGCAGAGGGTCTTCGAACAGCGCCTTTGCTTTGGTTCTTTCGGAAGTCATCGAAGCAGGGGCCCTCGAAGACTTTGGAGTCTCGAAGTGCAGAGACACTGTCGCTTGACCGAGACTTAGACTTAGCCTCAAAGAAGGGGCCTGAATTCCTTGGCGAGGCGTGCTGCAAGTCTACGCCTGTGAGGCCCCTTTACTGATGTGCGCTCTGATCTTCTGTCCTGCCATCGTTCGGAGAGCTTAATCGATTAGATGCTTCGTGCTGTGTGGGTCTAAGGACATCCCATCAGGAGATGAGCTGTGTCTCTTCTACACAGATGTTCGCAAACCACGCCAGCTGCGGCAGGAGTTTGTCAGACACTGACGGTCACTAGATTATCGGCATTGTTGGCCTTTGCTCAGGAGAAACTACAGACACTGGGCTTCACGTGCGCCTGTCCAGTGTGCCGTGGTGCAGGCTCGGACAAGACACTGGTACCATGCCAGTCGCCCGAGATCTCCCAGTCTGCCAGATCCCGCCAGCGACCGGCGCCGCGAACGTCTCTGGCAGCTGGTCGAGGAGATACCCAGCTGCGAGGATCCCGAGGAGGCGCGATCAGAGCAAGGTCCAGCCAGGTTTTGCTGTAGGCCCGAGCCAACAACAGTTTGTAATCACGCCCAAGGCTTGTCTTCGTTAGCCTCGCTAGGCTCTCGACCTGGTTCGGGAAAGCTTTGAGCTCTCGGACGAGGAGGCCCGATGAGCGAGGGACAGAAGGAAAGCCAAGGGCCAAGCAAGAACCAAGCCGTTTCGCTCAGGGGCTGAACATCTCCTGCTTCCGAGAGGTAACAGCCTACCAGGCAGGGTTGCTTGAGGCCTTCCATTCCTGTGATCGGTATGACACGACAAAGTAGAGAGAGATCTGCCCGTGACCTCCTCGTGACGAGAAAAGCAGGCCTAGACTTGGACGAGCAGATCTCGCCGGGATCAATCCCGCATTGACTAGTAAATACCTCGGCAAAGCTTCCCAAAAAACACGCGACCAGCCCGAGTAGCTTCGATTCATCCCGAGCCTTGCGCAGAAGTCTGCGGTCTGTCAAGCAACCTTGTAAGTTACTTGTAAGCATATCGGAAACTGACAGTGAGTGTGTCGAAGACTGCAATGCAATCAGCGGAGCGAGAGTGGGCACCGCCAGCACCAGCACCAGCATGCATTGTCCACCCGAAAAGCAAACCTAAAGTAGGAGCATCGCCTGCATGACCGCTGACCGACCTGTTCGTGGCTCCATGCAGGCTTACACGTCGTGCCTCTCCATGGGACGCACAGAGGAGGCTGGCAAGTGGGCCCAGCGAGCGTACGAGCTACTTGGCAGAGAGGCCAACGCGTGGGTTTGAGCCGTCCGTGACTGGTGCCTCCAGAACACACGATGTTCCGATCTCCGTCGTGGTTTCTAGAGTGGCCCTGAGGTTTAGCCTGAAGGGCCACGGCCCTTACCACGCCACGACCAAAATCATCAGCCGCCACGCCAGTCGATATCGAAGCTGAATGACGCCGGCCTGTTGACAGAAATGTTGCTCGGCGTGGGGTCCAGCGGGTGCGCCAAAGTTGCGTGTCCGAAGGGGATGCGCCAAAGTTGCGCGGCCAAAGGTCAGTACGGGCACCTCTCAGCCGACATTGTCTCGGATTCACACGTGGCCGGAAAACCGTCTGAGGTACTGAGCTTTGTAAGTGCAGCTGCCTCATACAGGTACAAGCTCTATATAGTGTTGGTCGGCCAGCTCATGATGAAATCCTGCAGCCGCGTTAAGCCCAAGAAGTGCAGAATAGGAGACTCTGAGACTCTCTGGTGCCCCACCTGTCCTCGGCAAGGCCGCTTCTGGCATCGTGTCTTCGGTGATAAATACATGGGGTTCGAAGTTCTAAGCCCACACCATAGTAGGATCCCGTTTCAGCATCACGGTTGTTAGGAAGGTATTGCTGATCTATCCCTATCTGTACCAATATCTTTCCGACGTCCCTTGGGAACTGTTCCGTGGAGAACCCGGCCAGAACAGGCTAAGCTTTGGAAAGCCGGGGGTTTTGCGGCGATTCCTGCTTCCTGCACAAATCGAAAAGCACTGTTCATATAGGCTCTTATGGTCCGGTCACCACCATGATTGTCAGGTGCAGTTGACATGGGTCCTGTCTGTGCGGACTCAACTGTCTGGGGCCTAGATTTTCATCACCCATGCGTGCCATTGCTGTATATGGAGTCGACTGTGGAAGTTTTCAAGCTACATGCTGTTTCATGTTCCTGTGTGCTCCAGGCCGATAGGTGGTGGAATATTTAGGTTGGACGTGTAAGGCACTTGGACGCCCGCAAACCGGACCGTGAACTATATCTAGTGCAGAAGTGTAAGAACTTGAAACGTCTAGATGCTGTCCCTAGTGCAGATATGGAAGTCAGCTTTGACCACTGCTGAGCAAGCCTCGAGCCCTTAATATCTTAATCCATCGCCAGCCTTGAACAAGATCGGTGCTGCGGGCCCAGGCACATAGCCCAAGAGGTGTGAAAGAGGATGTCGCCTACAGGCAATGGTCTGGCTTGTTGGATGCGACATCTCTCTTCAACTCAAGTTCACAGCGCTCTTGCCCGCCATCAAACTTCTGCACTCACCTGCGAAGCAGCATGTCGCTGAAGAGCAATTCGCGACTCCATGTACTTGTTGAACGAACCCAGGGCTCTAGCATTCGGTGCTGTGTTGAAACCCTCTTTCGGTTTGTTTGCCGATCGTGGGTTTCTATCTGCTGCGGCCGCCACAAGCTCAAAGTTGTAGGGTTCGAGGCTGAATCAGGAAACGGGAGAGTTAGTTTGATGTGCAGCTTACATGGCGCCGGGCCAGTGAGAGGAGCGGAGATGGAAGCACTGAGCTCACAGACTTGGGTCCAACCTGCGGTCCTCCTTTATTGATTCATAAAGCTCGTAAAATAGCTTTAAGTTGTCGAGGTATGCCTGTTCTGCTTGTACTATTCCCAGTAGTGTTCTGATCAGAGCCGCTCAGCCGGAAGTGCTCTTGCGTGGAGGATTTTTTCCCTGGATCGCCCCGGTCCCGAGATGGCAAGGTCGTGGCCATAGCGAGGATTTGCGCCCTGGCTCCGGATTTCTCATGTCGACTGCTAACTGTTAGATGCGAGCACATGGCCGAACTCTAAAGCCGGAACGAGAGGTTTGATTCAAGCTGCGATCCAAGCACGCGTGATTGGAATCAAAAGCCCGAGTAACGCACCAGGAAAGCGCGACTCGAGCACAACGAACGCTTGATTCACACACATTTCCCAGGCGATGGCTGTAGATTTTACCCTGCCTCCATTGCTATTCCTATGGTCCTTAGCTATGTCTTTACGCGACCGCACTTGGCCCAAGTCCCCCGTGGAAAAAGGTCACAAGGGTTGACTGACCGGTAACTAGACGTGCCAAGCTGGTAGCCTGGGAAACTTCAGGTTATCAGCCGTAGTTAGCTCCGTAATGGACATCGTGCCGTTTGTAACGGCCGCGGGCAACAACGATGACGGTGGTATTGGTGGTAGAACGGAGCAGGAAGCGAACCAGTACTTCTTGCATTTGTTGCAGGAGAATACTCAGGTGAACTTGTTCCTGAATGACCCCCGCATTCAAAGTGCCTTGGAGCTTCGCGCGGAACAACGACATCGATTTGCATTGGACAACGTGTACGCCGAAGCCAACGCATACATTGCACACCTAGAGGCAACAGCGGATGCGAATCATCGTCAACAGCTAGCATTTGTGAGCCAATCCACACACCTGTTGGTGGGACAGCTACACAATGAAGTACGAGTGCTAGAGACAATCGCCCGAGCAGAACGACAATCAGCCAATGAGCTGCAGGCACAGCTGGCACGCGCACAAAGGGAAAGTCATGATGAAAGGTCTATGGCCATGCAGTTTGATGCACATCGGTCCGAGCTGGAAGCAGCAGCGCGCACGCTCACTGCGGAAAACAGACAGCATGAACGCCGTTTCGCGGAATTGCGCTCGAGTATCGAAGAAAACCACAGTGAGATGATTGCCTTTTTAGGGTCTGAGTTTGAGGAAAAGCTTCAATGGGAAGAAAACGAGTACTACCATAGGCTAACCTCTGAGGCACAGCAGTACGATAGCTTGGTTGATGACCTGCAGGACAGGAACGCGGAGCTTATAGCTGAGGTCGACTCACTCAGGACTGTCTTGTCGACAGCGGAGAGTAGCCCACCGCAAGGTGGTGCCGTGCCGGTGAAAGTCGATCCCAGTGAGAGCTCCAAGCTTCAACCAAGCCCACCGCAAGGTGGTGCCGCAGCGCCGCTTGTTCAGGGTCCTAGCCATTCATGGATTCCAACCCTTCCGAACCCCAGGGAGATTCCTGTGTCGCTTCGGACGGTTTTGGGAAGGACCCAACGGTATGACATTGGAGAGCCTGAGGATACCAAGGCCCACAATGTAGCGGTATCTGCTGCTGAACAGAGTGATAACAAAGAACCGGCAGAATCTACTGAAAACAAAGAACCTAGCGTACTTCTCGCTGAAGCACTCAAGTCGGTTATCCAGAAGCCTGATGATGACAAACCCAAGGCTAAGGAAGCTGAAACGGTGAAGCTACCCGACTTCCCTAACCCGGAGACTTATAGGAGCTGGAAGATCACAGTTAGGGAGGCCGTTCGGGCAGCATCGGACAGACCCGATGAGGCATTCAAATGGGTTCAAGAGGTTTACTCCAGGGACGCCGATGCGGAGAAGTTGAGGGACACGGGTAAATTCCTCACTTTGGACACGAAGATCCTTTCGGCGCTCTCGAGGGTTGCTAGGGGTGATCTTGGACGACAGATCATTAACTACAAGGAGTCTGAGGCAGCTGCTGGTAGGGCCGTTCGTGGTAGACAGGTTCTACTGATGTTCGAACACTACTTTAAGACCAACGAAGAAGCAGGCTCCCTCTACTCTGTAGAAGATCTACTCAAGGTGCAGTTGAATGGTGATGACCTTAGCACTTTCATTCACAACTGGGAGTCGGTCATCGCGGTTGAATCACCAACCCGAGGAGACTACGCTGAGAGATATTCTACTTCGTCAGCTTCGCAATGCTAGCAAGCTCAAGTTTGATCTGGAGGTTTACGACAGGGCTAAGGAAGGAACAGAGCAACGCACTTATGACTACTTGGTCAAATGCGTGAAAGAGCTGTTGGCTAGAGATAGGACTCGCAAAAACCGCACAGCAATCGCCAAAGCTCATGGCGCCAGATTTGGTGCCCCTGCTCCTTCCGATACCCCGAACACCCCTCGCGGCCGAAGCCAGGACAAGCCCTGCTACGCTTTCCAGCGTGGGAAGTGCCCACGAGGTGATAAGTGCCCATACAAGCATGTGAAGCCTACTCCTGAACAGACAAGGGGCAGAACACCTCCACGTACCCCTTCGAGAAAAGGTGGAGGTAAAGGCGGTAAAGGTGGGGAGAAGAAGGATACCTCCAAGATTCCTTGCATCTTTTACCCCAAAGGCACCTGCAAGAACGGTAAGAATTGCCCATTCATGCACAAGGATGCTGCTCCCTCTGTCCCGGCCAAAGGCGATAAGGCTGGCAAGGACGGGAAGAGATCGCCCTCCGGCAAGCGCAGGCGACCCAGTAAGAAAAGGCCAAAGAGTGAGGACAAGCCAGCCGCTTGCTGTCTTTCCCTCACAGCCACCCTCACGGGTGAGCCACCGGCCGATGCTGTGAAGGCCTACGCAGTAGCAGCCCGCAAGGGCCCTGCCGGAAAGCCCCGAAGCAGGAAAGTCCAGTTCCTAAGGCCAGAAATCATTGACATCCCGCCTGAGGGTGAAGGCTGGAGCTTCGTACCAGACAAGCACAAGTTCGAATTCAGGTACAAGTCTGCGGAGCTATGCCCACCATCAATTCCAGAGGACACCGAAGAAGCTTTGCAGAATGCCCGTCACTTGGAATCAGCAGTGAACGGGATGAAGCTTAAGGTTCGGGTCAAGTGTAACTACAGGTGTCGGGGTAGAGAAGGATTCTGCATTCACTGCAAAGAAGCAATTCCCCTGCCCCAACTTGCTGCAGCGGCGGTGACAGGTGAGAACCTCGAAATCATCGCAGACACCGGTAGCGAGGAAGATCTGATTAGTCACTCTGATTTGGAGGCCCATTTCAAGGGCAAGGCTAAGAAGGTTGCTTCCAACCCAGTGAGTTTGATCACTGCTAACGGACCAGTAGACGCTGATACCAAGCATGAAGTCTACATTGAGTCATTGAGGAACCCATTGCAGTTCGTTGAGCTCCCCAACACACCTGCAGTTTGCTCTGTAGGAAAGAAGTGCATGGAACAGGGGTTCTCTTTCCACTGGCCAGCGGGTGAGGCGCCATATTTCATTTGCCCAGACGGTCAGAAGATGATTTGCCAACTCCGAGGCAATGTCCCCGTATTTGGCGACCGAGGACCATTGATGGCATGCTTAGCAGCAAAGTCCTCAGAATCTGATGGCAGTAAGGTTGCACCGACCTCTGTCAAGTCTGGTTCGGGTTTTCGGTAAACAGCTGCCCGCAAGGGCACGCCGCACCAGCTAGGGGAGAGCACGAACATGAACCTGAAGGTCCAGCTGGCGCGGCAGAAGATCCCATCGAAAAGATGGCGAATTGCATTCCTCCCATTCCTGGGGTGGAAACGAGGCAACTGCTAAAGGCAGGTTGGACTGTCATCAACGGCAGCCCCGCTGCTAAGGTGGCACATTTCCCAAAGACGTTTCGAACACCGGCTCCTAAGTTCCCAAGGTATAGAATCCGGACTACTTGGGGATTCAAGGATGACGTGTGGTCTTTGTTGGAGGATTCAGTCAACATTGATGAATTGGACGGAATCTATGGGGAAGTACCTGAAGGGACTATTGCGACTATCACATTGTTTGCTTTGCCTGAAGGGGAAGTTGAGGCGCAAGCCGACAGCGATGTCGAGCCATACACAATGCCAAAGTCTAAGAAGGATGAAGCTTCCTTGAGGGCTGAGGCTGTGTCTTTGGAACATCGACTTACCCATAGACCAAAGAATCCGTTCTGCCCTATTTGCCAAAGGGCCAAAATGTATGCGCCCCAGGCGCGTAAATCTGGTGGATCCTCTACAATCTACAGTAAATCGTTCGGTGACCACATCACAGTAGATCACATCGTGACCGCTGATGCCAAGGATTACGGGTTCCAAGATGAAACCGTGGCTCATGTTGTGAAGGACGTGTATTCTAAGTTTAGATACGTGTACCCTTCCAAGACAAAGTCTGGTGAGCAGTGCTACGAAGACATGTTGCACTTCCTTGGTACAGATGATGAGGTAAAGGTTATATATTCCGACAATGCGTTGGAGTTTGACTTTGCGGCCAGACAGCTTCGCGCTCGTCACAACACTTCTAGAGAGTATGTGAACGAAAACAAGGCCGTAATCGAACGAGAAATCAGAACAATTTTGGAAGGCACACGGGCCAATCTAGTGCAATCAGGACTTCCAGATCGCTATTGGCCTCTTGCATCGCAACATCATGCTATGTGTCTTAACATCACTGCGAGGATTGACAATGGTCAGATTCCGTGGGAAATCAGGTATGGTGAAAAGTTCAATGGCATGCGTATTCCCTTTGGAGCGAAAGTTCTCTATTGGGCCCCGAAGAAGCAACGCAAGCCTGAACGATCCAAGTTTGCTGGCACAGGGATTGAAGGTATATTCCTTGGATACCACATCCAACCTGGTTTTATCTTCAAGCTTGAGTACGTTGTTGCTCCCCTACACAACATCGAAGCCGCGTTGGAAAATGAAGATCTACGTGTGTTTCGGACTAAGAGACTGGAGCTACCAGATGGTGACTTTAAGTTTCCTTTGTTGCAAGAGCCTGCCTTGGATAAACCACCAAGCCTTGATGCACAACATCACAATGTCCTTGATGAGCAAAACCCGCATCCTCCTCTGGAGGAAGGGGGGGGATACGATGAAGCCACAATTCAGGCACAACTTAGCGAAGACCTGGATGAAATGTTCCCAGAGCTATTTGGTCCTGATCGTGATAAAGATCCTCCGCCGAAGGACGCGAAAGAAGCCACCCGCAAGGGTGAGTCAAAGTCTGATTCCCGTGCAGCATTGCTTGATGATGTTCCGTTCTCTGTGAAGCAGAAGCTGAAGTCCAGCGCAGCAGTAGCAGCGCAAGAACCACCGTATGGTTATACGTGGAGTGGGGAATGTTTGGTCAAGAAGAACAACAAGAACCGCCCTAACGCTATTGATCATACTGCATGGAAGGCTATGTCGAAAAGACAAAGAACAACAGCAATTGCAGAACATGAGAAGAAGCTACATGAGGAGAATGAGGCACTGTATCGTGAAGCTGTAAAGGCGGTACCTGCAATGCCAGTCCTACATGGGTGTAGCGAGGAACATCGGGAACGACTCAAAGGGCTATATGACAAGAAGCTTTTTCAGATCGCAGATGAGATGTATGCTGTTGTCGCCAAGGTCCTGTCGTCTAAGGAGATTGCAACAAACCCTAAGGCGCAGGCTGCCATGGACAAAGAATGGCAGAAATTGGTTGACAAGGGCTGCTGGGTACAAGGCAAAGTCAGGGAGTTCGAGTCGGTTGCCAACGAAGCTAAGAAATCTCAAACCAAGGTTCACTTTGGCAATGTTTTTGAGATTGGTACCCTAAAGGGAGCCGAGCTGAAAGAAGGCGACCCCAACCGTAAGTATAAGGGACGTTCGGTATTTCAGGGAAATAAAGTACTTGATGAAAACGCCGATCACGCGCTCTTTGCGGAGATGTCGAGCAGTCCTGCATCTATGGAAGCAGGAAAGATTCTTGACGTCTTTGGCTCACAACCTGGCTACATCATCCAGCAGGCCGACGCCAAGCAAGCATACACCCAAGCTTTGTTCCAAGGGGTTGCCACTTGGGTACGGTTGCCTCGCAATCGCTGGCCTAAGGCATGGCAGGGCATGAAAGATCCTGTTGTTCCACTCAAGTTGGCACTTTACGGACACCCCGATTCAGGGGGGATTTGGGAACATCATTGCGAAGCTGAGTTGAAGAAAGTCGGGTTCGAGGCAGTATTGACTGACATTTGGAAGAGTGTATTCTACCACCCGAAGAAGAAGCTGCTTTTAGTGGTATACGTCGATGACTTTAAACTCGCTGGCCCTAAGAACTCTATCAAGGAGGGATGGGACTTGATCTCGAGCGTCATTGATATGGATCTTCCGGAAGCCATTGGTAGATACTTTGGGTGCATGCACAAGGAAGAACACAACCTCAAGCTGCCCAAGGAAGCACACCCTTTTCGTCACGTGTTTGAGCCCGAATCATCAGCTGCAACTCCTGCTAGAAAAGAAGACTATTGGGACATTGACCCCGAGAATCTCATAGCAATCCGACATCACCGTTATCCTCGCAAAAGACTTTATGTCCCCAACGAGGATGATGCTAGAATGTTCCCGGGGATCGGCCCTCGGAGATACACTGTGGTGGCTAAAGCCACCCGCAAGGGTGAGTCGGAGGAAGTTGTTGTTGACAGTTGCAATCAAATGCGCGATCGCTGTCTTCAGGATTGGTGGGACGGCGAAACCTACTTCGACCTCGCAGGCCGGGAACAGTCTGATTTCGAGCTGGCAGTTGCAGCTGCCCGCAAGGGCAAGCCGGTTCGTAACAAGTCTGAGGCTAAAAAGGAGGCGAAGCAGAGCAAGTTTGTTACATTGTCGCAAGACGTTAAAGAGAAGCCCGGCGCAATGACCAAGCCAGTCACTCGCATCACGTACGATATGAAGGACTTTCTCGACTCTTGCGTTGATCGGTACTGCGAGCTTGCTAAGGTAGAGCGTAAGACCCTGAAACCAGCTGCAACCCCCTTCCATGAGCTACGTGTGGCTTTGCCAACAGCTTCCGAAGGAGAGAAGGCAGGGCGCTTGCAACCTATTGCTAGTAAGGTACTAATGAAGATTTTGTTCGCTGCTCGCATGGCCAGATGGGACCTTCTAAGGGCAACACAGTCTTTAGCGTCGAGGGTGACCAAGTGGAGTCCAGATTGCGACTTGGGACTTCACAGGTTGGTTTGCTACATAAACTCTTCGCTTGATGTCACTATGAGCGGTTTCATAGGCGACAGCATAATGGACTGCAGACTGTGGTTGTTCAGCGATTCTGACTTTGCGGGCGAATTCGATTCAAAATCGACTACAGGATGTGCGATGTTTTTGGTTGGACCAAACACGTACTTTCCCCTCAATGCCTTCAGCAAGAAACAAACATCTATTACAATGAGCTCTACTGAGTCCGAAGTTGTAGCAGCGAATCACGGTTTACGTGCCGAAGGTCTACCTTGCCTGAGCTTGTGGTATTTCCTATGGCGTGGAGATGCCGGCCGCAAGGCCGAGCCAAGGGCTGAGAGGGTGGATTCGATAGTTGCACGCATTGACCCTGAACTTGACGAAATTCGTTATGGGTCCACTAGACCGGATGGGTTGTCAATCGCAGACATCAACGGCCTCTGTGTCCAGCTTCCTGAAAGTTTCGAGGTTAGACATATGGAGGATAACCAGGCGACAATCACTCTTTTGTTGCTAGGGCAAGCTGGTGTTCTACGACATACTGATCGGACACAGAGGGTGAGTTTCTCATGGCTAAAGCAGCAATATGAGGTTGGGCATTTCAAGTTACTGAATGTTGGTACAGCCGAACAAGTGGCGGATGTGTTCACGAAGCCTTTCACTGAAAAGAACAAGTGGACGCATGCCTTGAAGCTTATTGGACATACAACCAGCGCGAACGTAGCCGGGTGCAAACCCGAGTCGAAGGTCGAGGTTGACAACAAGGTTTCGGTAGCAGCAGCTCCGGATGCATCAAAGGTTGTCGAGGACTTCGCTCAACAATCGTTCGAGGCTAACGATTACAGTTTCAAGACCTTCGAAAAGCTAGCTGGGCTTATTCGTACCAATCTCAAGGCATCGCTGGCAAAACCGCGGGCATTGATGGCTTCTGAGAACCTATCCAAATACTTGGTGTTCGGCGCTTGGGTCCATGGTGGGTGCTTTGGTATTACCAACCGCACAAAACATTATCCATGGATTTGCAGGTATGTGAATGGATTTGTTAAGCAATCATCTCCGAAAGGGTTTACATGGACTTCGTTCGTGTTCAACTTCAATGGCAAGGCCCGCATCCACACGGATAAGTACAATCAGAAAGAATCGTACAACCTGACGTTCTCCTTCGGTAACTATACAGGGGGGACACTGTGGATTGAGGGCGCGAGCCAGTTGGGACCACCGGGAATATACACAGATGATCATGGCAAAGACCACAAAGGCTACAATTGCAACACATACCGCAAGCCCACTCTGTTGCATCCATCGACAAAACATGGTGTACAACCCTACACTGGCGAACGACATTCCTTCATCGCCTACTCTTCAGGGGGGTACCAGAAGTTCAACAAAAAGCAAAAGCAATTCCTACATCAAGCGCAGTTCCTCTTGCCTACGGCTCAGTTGAAGCTCCCAGCTCAGAAGGCAATGGTTTGTTTGAGGTGTGTTGGTTCCCCTCTCGATGAGGGGGGTAGGCTTAACAAACCGTGTTCTCGTTTCGAAAATGATTCGTTTGCACACAAACCGTGTTCTCGTTTCGAAAATGATTCGTTTGCACACACATCGCTCGAGTGCACAAACACACAACAAACTGCAAGCCTTGACCATGAAATCTTGGCTTTCTTTATGTGCACGCCTGCCATTGCAATTTCAGCTGGTTCTGATCTTCTCGACTTGCCCGAAGCGACTTCTACGATCCCCAGGATGGCAGCCATCGTTGTGAGCGACGAGTTCTGCAGGGTCAACACCTCCGAAGCAGACAGGAATGGGGTTACCAAGGCCATGAAAACCATTCTCCAATCCGCCGCCCTCAACAACGATATCATTTCGCTCGGCGCCGATCATGAGAGCCAGCTCTTGGAGTCGGCGTACAGCTGCGTATCCACACAATGCGCGGCTGGGGTATCCTTGACCCATGCCGACGCAACCTGTGTGGCTCTGCGCCAGATGGCTGACCTCAGTGACGAGGGACTCGCCAAGTTGAAGCCAACCGCAAGGTTGAGCCCCAAGGCCAAGCGAGCCATCATAGTCGTGTCAGACAGCTCCACTGCACTTTGCAAGAAGAACAGGCGGGGAGTGTTCGTTAAGGCCGACTTGGATGCGGAAGTGAACATCGCAAGCTTTACGCTGGGATGGGCACAGACTCGCTATACCATGTGTTGGGGTAAAACCTTGGCGTGGATTGTCTGGCAGGTCGAGGAGCATGTGAAGGAGCTCAGGAGCAACTATCCGGACCACACCATCGACATAATCTGCTGGTGGTGCGGGAACGAGATCTCCGGCCAGTGGGGCTGCATCCCCACGCGGCTAGGACCGGGACTCGCCTACAGAGATCCCAATGTCACAACGGAGACCGTCGCACGGAAAGTGAGAAGGGCAGCGGATGTTTTAGCCGCCCTCGCGGGCGAGCCGGACATTGGTTTTGTGAAGGTGATTGGGCAGGTGGAGGCGGACTTGTTCCAACTCCACTCAGCCTACAACGACTTCAATGCCGCTATGTTCGAAGAGTTCAGGCAGCGCGGTCTGCAAGTGCAAACCGCAAGCTCCTTGGTCGAAAAGCTGGAAATGTATGACAGCTTTCACGCCAGCGAAGACCCTCGCAACCGCGAGTTATTCCAGACCTACTTGCATGCGACTATCAATGCAAGCAGGAGCGAATGGCTTGCCCAGAAGATGGCACCCTGTGTCAGGGCTTTGCTTGTTCGCTATGAGCACTTTGAGACTGGCTCTGATGCCAACAATCCAGTGCTCGAGGATGTCTTCAAGCAGTGGCGTGCAGAGAAGGACCAGCTGATGAACCCGAAACAGGCCAAGCCAATGCCGGTCACCCAGGAGGACAAGATGTGGGAAGCCCCAGATGCCGCTGACGCAATCGACGTCAATAAGATCTCCGAGGGGCCACCCATGGATAAAGCCATCCGCAAGGATGTGCCAAGGATCGGTGCAACCACGGACGTCAGTGCTGTGGCGGAATGCGTCAATGACATCGTCACCCAGGACGCAGACGGCAAGGTGTCCTACAACACCCCGGGCACGGTGGAGCTGGTGGACGAGGGCGACCAGGTCGACCCTATCCCCTCATCGATTGGACGTGTTGTTGAGCCAGCGCCTCCGAAGAAGACTAAGAAGTCTGATCGAGACGAGGATGCCATGCGAAGGCTCATGTTCATCGATGAAAGCGCCCCGCAAGGGGCTGCCACTGTGCCAGAGCTTCCAAATGAGTACTTCTACAATGGCAAGAAGCACTTGATGAAGCCCTTCAACCCGGAGGACATTGTAGGAGACAGGCACGTGACATTCAAACACGGAGACCTGAAGTTTCTCACCAAGCTGCTGCGTGGCCATGAAATGGACGACTTCCCTGCATTGATCTTTGACCGTGGGTGCTGGACAGACGTTGACACTCTGCTCCAGGTCTTCAACACGGCACGGGGCGCACGCTGGGGTGTGAGGCAGCTGCTACGCGCAGCGAAAGCCGATAATAAGGGACGGATCAGACTTTTGGGCATTGACGTCCCAATGAAGGACACCCTGGGTCAACCGCTATTCCCTGTCAGAGTGAGAATGGCCCAAGGGCATAACTCCAAGCTCATCGGCAATAACCCGGACGCGGACTTCTTCCTTGCGACCAGGTTCTACAGCGGATTGTCCGAGTACGAGGCCGACCTGCAGAGCAGCGTCAGGGGGGTCACTGTGCTCTCCCGCGAGGATACCCCCCCAAAGCTCTTCCACCGCACGAACGAAAAGGGAATGAAGGGTATCCTCCGCGATGGAATGATCGCCGGCTCCGCGAGGTCAGACAGGTCCCACAACTACCTGTCCCCGTACAAGTTGGACGACACCCACTACAAGAGTGGAATGCGCTCCAACCAGCCGATCGAGCTGACGATAGACACGCAGCGAGCAATCGCCGCTGGATGCGTTTTCTTCGTCACGGAGACCGACGGCGTCCTCACACGGGACAATGTGCCTCCCGATTGCGTGCTGTCCGCCATCGACACCAGCAAAAAGAACCTCCCGCTCTACGTCGCCGAGCACAAAGAAGCCGCCCGCGAGGGTGAGCCAGAGCGCATTTTCCGCGCAAAGCGCGACTATGAGGAGGCCGCAGCAGCAAGCTCATCATCGGCACCGCCCCCAAAACAGGCGGCTATCGCTCCCAAAGCGATTGCTTCAAAGAAGATGCCGAAGGTGGTTCCCAAGCCCGCCGCAATCGCCGAAAAGGACGAAAGCATGGACTTGGATGAAGCCACCCGCGAGGGTGAGCCTGCTGATGCTGCTGGTGCATTCGACCTTGACGAAACCAAGGTTGAGGTTGAGGTCGAAGTCGATGAAGGCGATACAACGGATGCGGGTGAGGATGAGCCGTACCCACTTGGCTCTCACCCATGCCGCGAGTGCGCAGCAGTCGTTGCCAATGGCATGCTGTTTTGCCTCCGTTGCAAGGCTCCCCAAACGGATGACTCCAAGAAAATCACAAAGCGAGTCTTTGAGAATTCGAGACTCCGCCAGCGCCTTCTTGCCACCGCTGCGACTGGTGCCCAGAAGCCCATCGATGATCTCCTCGCGAGTGACCTTCGAGGCCTGGGCGAGGGACCAAAGAAACGTGGTCAGATGAGCGCGGAGGCCGCCGCCATTCGTGACGCCAAAGACCGAAAGATCAGGGCCGCCAAGTTGAACTTTGACACCGTGTCCGACCGCTTCGAGAAGGACGCGCAGTTCAACGTGAGAATGATGCAAGAGGGCCGCAGCCTTGAGGACATGCAGAAATTCGATCACCTGTCGAACGCTGTGCTTCCCGATCCAGGACGCAGTGAGGAGCAGCGCTACTTGCGTGCTGGCTCCCATTATGGTGGTGGCAATGTCCCGCCTGCGAAGCTGGTCTATTATGCCCACTGCGAAGTGGAGCCGTTGAGGAACTTGCGGTTTATCGATGATACCGCGGATGTCCCCATCGGCTTGACCTACCTCGGTGCATTCCTCCCTCCGCGACTCTATGCTGAGGTGGCAGCAGTGAACGACGCTGCAAAAAGGATCCTGACTTTCGACGGCGAAGTCTATGTGTCGGCTACCACAATTGAAGGCATCACAACTGAGATCGGACAGATTCTTACCGATAGCCTCCGTAGTGCTCAGGACCAGACAGACCAAACGGAACGTCTGGCAGAGCGCAATCGCCAGGCTGCAGTCCAGAACCGCCCATCCCAAAAGGGACGTGGTCGCACGACAGCACCTGAGCCCATGTACAGAGGCTATACTCAGGCCCAGTGGGACGAGTACTATCGCCAGCGTCGTGGAGGTTACACTCAGGCCGAGTGGGATGCATGGAACCGCACCCATAGGCGCTGAGTCCTCATTCTGATTTGCTTCGGACCTGCAGGGCTTCCCCGTTGTGCTTTATAAATGCTCGCTTTGGCAAATTCCCAAATCCGTTGAAGCCCAGGGCAACCTGGAGCCATGTACTATCCGCCTTAGCTCGAGCAGCACGGCGAGGGGGGTGTAGATTTTACCCTGCCTCCATTGCTATTCCTATGGTCCTTAGCTATGTCTTTACGCGACCGCACTTGGCCCAAGTCCCCCGTGGAAAAAGGTCACAAGGGTTGACTGACCGGTAACTAGACGTGCCAAGCTGGTAGCCTGGGAAACTTCAATGGCGGTTTGTCGCATTCCTCAAACCAGGCCCCTTCATTAGTCAATGGCAGTCGATCACATTTGTGAAGCCCGAGCCCAAGCGAAAACGCGAGTCAAGCACCGAAGCTTCAGCGCAGGAATGGGGTTGGTGCGCAAATCTGCATTGCATGATTTGGACTCGTGCGCGGATCTGGACTGCGCGAGGTGTCCATACGCGAATGTTGGTGGAAAGTCCGCGCCTGCGTCTGCAACCAAATTTACCGAACCGAAACCACTGCAATGCAAGGTGTGTGAAAGTCACTGGGTTGCAAGCAGTCGATTGGCTCCTGCCTGTTGCATCCTTTGCTGCCGAGTTTCGTTCTGTGCCTTGCGCGTGCCTGTGCATTCTTGAGGAGCGCTCCTGCACGCCTCGCACCTTGGCAGAAGATGTTGTTCCGTCTGTCACTCAAGAACCGATCAATGCAGGTCTTCGGTCCAGATCCAGAGCCAAGTGTCAACGTTTGGACAGCAGCCCGCTCGCTGCGACGCCGCTTGTCTTTTCCGAAGCCTTCCTCGATACGTCAGAGCAACCCCTTCAAGCTGGTGTTCTGAACTGCATCCAGGGCTTGCCACTTGCCACTTGTTCCTCAACATGGGGTTACTTTGTCAAGTGTCAAGTGTTTTGTTGTTGCCTCAATTCTTTGAGGCGTTCTGAGATTCTTTCATGTTAACACAATGTTTTTAGTGGACAGCAGTACGACTGCCAGAATGCACTTCCTCGACTACTGCTGGCATTGCCACTGTCAGTTTCACAGGCAATGTCAGCTGACAAAAGCTTTGATAATGCGGTCTGTCAAGCACTGTGGACATTCATTCAACTCACTGTCCTTCCTGTATGTATAACATTCTAGATGCACGTATGTAATTACTGTATGCGGTGTACATATAGATGTATATATGTATATACACAGACATCTGTATATAGATCTATACATGTGCCCATTCTTAAATGCTGTTTCATATCACGCATGTTTACTTACGACTTTCTGCACTGCATGTGTGCGGATGTTTGCACGGTCTTCATTTAGCATTGTACGTGACAGCAGCTATAGCATATGAATATGTACCAAACTTTTCTTACATGATGTTTCATGTATCACTCCAGGCAGCATTCCAAGTCTCTGGAGCCAACGACGCCCTCCTGGAAGGAAGCAGCGCGGCGGCGCGTTGCGAGGACTCTGTGTTCATGTGAGCATGTATGCATGCATGCAAGATTGCACGCATGCATGTATGCACGTATTTCTGCTGCTTGTACGGTCGTATGTACTTTTGTATGTACGTGCGTGGTGCGTATGTATTGACATCTGCACGTTTTACGTACGTATGCAATCATGTATGAGCATATAACGTAAGTCTTTCAATAGAAGTTAGACAGATAGATTGACAGATAGATAGCTAGGTCGATCGCGAGGTTTCAATCAACTGCCAGCAGTGGGAGACTTAGTTTTGCTTTCCTCCCCGTCTGATAGTTTTTTCATTGCCCTCAGCAGCGTGAGCACGGTATGACGAATTGAAGCAGCATGTTGGTTGAGCAGAACAACGAGTTTGCCAGTGGTGGCTAAACGTTTGCATGGTCGGTCTTTCTCGCACTTCTGGCAGCATCACCCTTACTCGTTTATTACGTAGTATGATCATGCTTTGTATTATTGTTACCATGACGTTGTATCACAAGAATAATTCTGGGTCTGCTCATGAGCAGTGTGTAAGACGTCGGCTGTGCCAGCCTTTGATCCATCATCACCTTGGCATTCCTACCGTCTTGCTAATTAATTTGATCATCAGCATGTCGCTGTCTGGCAGAGGCGAGGCTTGTTTGAATGGTTGGGGAAGCTTTCGAAGCCGATACAGATAGCTATCTACAAGGCGCATGAAGAAGCCGAAATGTACAAAGCACCAGGACTGCATCGAATGATGCGATCAGAATAATCAGTGTAACATCACGTAGTACTGTTCGATACCGTTGCTGCGAGAGGAGAAACGACTAGTGGCAAGCAAAGCATGTTAGGGCCGTGAAACATGTGCAGGGGGGGTTTAGGGATAAGGGCCCTGAACCCTGAACCCAAAGCCCTAAGCCCTAAACCCTAAGCCCTGAGCCCGGCGCCCCCTAAACCAAAATTGTGATTCTGCTTTGGTTCTGTCTTGATGTGCTTACCGCTTTTTGTCACTATCTGACTATCTGAGTCTGGCTTTTAGCTCAATCAAAACTCGGTAGCTGCGGCTACTGACTGGTTTGCAAAGCTCGCAAAGGTCTCAAGGAGTGCAAGGCATGTCTAGACTCTAAGACTCTAAGACCCTAGACTAGACGTGGAAGCTCTGGCTTTTCAGGAGCCTCCCGGACGACGTCGACTGTCTTGCGAAATCTGCGCACCAAGTCAGGCCGCATCATTTGCTTGCGGTTTGGGTGTAGGCCGTAGGCGGAGGTGTGGGCCATTGCCGTTTCTTGTCGAACGGTGCAGTGCTGGGTCCTAAACCTAAACATCTGCAGAGTTTCTGACTTCGGAAAAGGGGCAGCTGTTTCGTTCTTCAAGATAGACATGCCTTGGCTGTCAGACTTTTTTGCGAAGCCCCGGTCGCTCCATCCGGCTTCAATACTCGTGAGTGGTAGCAAGAGTTTCGCACGAGGGACCCTCGGCCGCCGAGAGACGTGTCGGCAACAGCGCGAGTGCCTTGGCTCAGTTTCGATCACCGCTGTCTTCGAAGAAGAATCGAAGCCGTTTCATGGGTTGTTGTAGTGATTGTAGTGTGTCCGGTCCATCAAATGAGAAGAAGACCAGATTCTATGCAGATTGTTTCTATGCAGATTCGTCAATGGGTGACTTGTCAGCTGCTTCAGCACTCGCGCGGCGTCAGTTTGGGTTCTGGCTTCCAAGTGATGTTTCCAGGCTGAGCTTCAGGACCTGCCCCCACGCAAAGCCCGAACCTCCGAAACGCTTGAGACGAACTCGCTTCTAAATGCTGTCAGCGAAGTCAAAGACACCACAAAACGGGACAGAAAAGCTTGGAGAACAAGAACTCAAGCCAGGAGAGATGGTTGGCCTCGCTGGTAGTGCCAACTTTGCGCGACGCACGTGTATGGCCTGTGCAGGCAGGAGCGTCCAAACAATGCGGGTTGGAGGGGCGAGGTCCAACACGGTCCCTTGTGCTTCGCCCGAAGAATCTGAAGCTTGTGATTGGAGACTTCTGAGAAAAGGCTGAGAAGAGGTTTCAAACGGCTGGTTACAAACGGCTCTCCGTTGCTGGTTTGCTTGTTCTTAGCACCAGGCTGCTACACTCTACAAAGCAAGCCACCCACTGGAACTTTTCACTTGTGACCGGTTTGCAAGCCTTGTGATGCAGGACGAGGACCTCGATCAGCGTTGTTTATTCAATGGCTACCAGGGAAGCGCCGCTTGGACTTCAGTCATCTGCGATCCTTCGTGACCAGGGCCCGAGGCTGCTGGTAGCTTTGAGAAGATGTTCCTTGCCCGCTTTGCTCTGAGGTCTACGAAGTTGAGCTTCAAGGTGCGGATGGAAGGCACGGACTTTGTTTCAGGGTTTCAGAGGTCGATGGAGGGGCCCGTTGTGATTTCAAGCGCACCACAGCTTTGTAGCGAGGGGGTCCGGTTTCGTGAACTGCTGTGACTGACGCCAGCTGAGTTGCAGCAACACTAGAGAAGCTTGAAAGCGGAAGGTGGCGCCCATCTGTGATGAAGCTGTGCCTCGCCAGCAGAGCAAGAGCATGAAGTGGGCCTCGTTCTGCAAAGGGACGGCCGGATCTTTGGGATAGCCAGCACATGTCATCTGCTGACGATCATAAAGGAACCCGCCCCGTGAGACTCGAAATGTAGGAGGCTGCGTGCGTTTCGCGAGGCCGCCCTTCAGCAAGCCCTGCCTGAAGGACACCGTGGTGCCAACAAGGGACATGACAAAGAGAAAGCAAGAAAGGTCAAGTCTCCTTTACTGTGAGGCATAAAGTCTCCAGGAGCGGAACCATGTGGCGGCTCGGTAGGAACGAAGACGAGATTTACAGAGACACTAGTGGTGTGGGGCAATGTGGTGCATCTTTGCACAAAAGTAGCTGCAGGATTTCGTTCAACCGGAGAGCACGGCCAAGATGCCGAGTACCGCCGAGCGGGACCAGAGACTTGGGTGATTTAAAGCTGGCACATGAACCGATCTTCACCACAACGAACTGTGCGAAAAAGCCGCAAGCCTGGAATGTGCTTACACAAGTTCGATGGAGGCTCCAGCCTAGCTTACGGTTGCTGACGGGTGCCCACGGCAGTTTGAGGCAAGGATAGTAGGATGTGGGAAGGCACAGAAAGCAGTGAATGGGTGCCTTCGGTGCAGCAAACACGTCAATGTTAAGTGTTTTTGGCTTAAGTTTGGTGATGTGTGTTTGGCGGCTTCTGCAAGCGTATCTCAAAATTGCGTCGAACTGCTGCTGATTACCGAGGCTGTGGCTTTGCATACCCTGCAAAGACGACGATGCCTACTTCCATCTCTGCAATCGATCCTCGGGAATGCAGGTGCCTGACAGTTAGCCGTGAATGTTGGACGCTTTCCAAAACGAGTTTCTTTCCTCCGCCGAGCGCCCAAGCATGAGTAAGCCGTAAGCTGAAAGCCGCTTCTTTCGCCTTCGCGTGCAGGTGTTGGAGATCCGCGGAGGCGGCCCCGGGCATAGCGCCGCCTCACTCAGGCGGCGACTCTCTGTGCACTCGCCTCTGCACACTTTGGATCTTTCCCGCCAGCGCAGGCTCTCGGAGTATTCCGGTGGTGACAGGCAGAAGTGGAAGGCGCGCCTTCAAACGACCTTTGTTGCATTGCAGCTGCTCGGAAACTCTGTGAACTTGGCGGGACTCGTTTCAGAAGAACGACCCACCAAAGAAAGCCATGCAGCAAGTCCTTGGAAACCTACGGATCTACAGGGTAAACGTGTTGGCAGTTCACAGACTCTGATGCATTGCGACGGGGCATGTCATCCATGCATGACAGCATATCTGCCAAACCCCTTCAGGTTGACGACAGTCGCATCACCAGCAAGCTGGACTGCATGCCGCACTTCAACCGAAATTATAGTATTCTTGTTGTGAGGCCTCTTTTGGGCATGCGATATGCTTGGGATTTGCGCTCGAAACACAGAAGTTTATCGTGAGTGAACGAATCCCGAACCCCTGGCCTACGACCCAACAATCGGCGATCGCTCTCACGGTGCGAGGGGCGATCAAGCCATTCCGCTGAAGTTCTGCATTGATGTGGTGGGTGCACAGGATGCGAACAGCCCGCAGCTCAGCTCTGTGACTGAGCTTAGAATGCTAACAACATTGACTTGTTGTTTATCGGCACTTGAGAAGTATGCACGGCTGTGCATGCTCGTGCAAGTGCCCAAGAAGCTTTGCAGGTGCAGCTGTGTGTGCCTACGCTTCTAACGGCGGTCGTAACCAGCAGTGGGAGCTGGAAGTCGTGGGCCAGGCAGGTGATTCTGAGGGCGCAGTTGAAGGCGGTCAGCTCGGCACGACGGATGATATGTCTGAAGTGCCCGGTGATCAGTCGGCCCAAAAGTGCTTACGGCAGGGGATCTACAGGCAGCTACCACGAACCGGCACAGATTACGCCTTGTCTGCAGGCCGGTCGCGCGCGCTTGGTGCGCATTGTGTCCCAAATGGCTCCCTGGCTGAATTGGCCTGCTGGATATTGTTTGTGCATCCGTCTGCCAGAGTATGGGGTGTCCATGTTTGTCCAGGATGGCAGGCGGCTGCTGACCGTGGAGCTTCTCACATGCACCCACATTTGAGTATGTCGGCAACACTTGTGAGTTGTTCGATTCTCCTGTTTGGGTGCAAGTTCGCCGTGTGAGTCCTCAGACATGGACACTCGCGGACCTAAGGAATGGGGATGAAATGCGCAAAGAGCCTTGGCCAAAGCACACTGGATACAGTCTGATCTGGATACTCTGGGAGCAAGTCTTCCTTCTGAAATGCATGCCCAACAGGACATGATCTTGGAGATCGAATATCTGGCACGCTGGTCCGGCGAAGCGGGATTGGTGCAGCTACAGTGCCCGGGCAAGAGAAGGAACTGGACATAGTCTGACAAGTGTAGGGGACGGCAAAAAACAGAGAACTAAGGAAAGTGGTCTGGAACAACGGTGTGCCGCAGGTGACCCGGGACCGGAAGTCTCCAAAGGGGAGGGTTTTTGCCTGTCTTGCGGCCTCCGTGCGCCATTTAAAGTCAAGCACCACTTGTGGAAGCAGCAGAACAGAGCTTTCCTAATTTCCCAGTCTGTATCCTGTTCGACTGGCTTAAGAAATTCGTCGAGAGCTTCTTGATGCCACCTTGTTTGCAAAGGCGATCGTAGAAGAGCGACTGGGCAAGCAGCTGGGGCGAGGCACAGGAGACGCGGAGAAGGCCAGAAGATCCCGCTCAAAAGTCCTTCGTGGTTCATCCATCTCGGTGCAAGGCTTGTATTTTGCAAGATATCCGATGCGGCCTCGCTACTCGCCAGTTTGATGTTTGCGATTCGTCATTCGAGTTTTCACGTGGAACGGGACGGGCGTTCGTTCCGCTTTTTTATTGAGAGTTCCATTTTGGGCTTCGGCTCGAGTTTGCACAAAGAAGGACACTTACAATTGCTGTCTGGTCCAAGGTCCACTACACCCCTCAAAGGGCTGCGAGCAGCTTGCTACCTGCAGCTCAGCCCCAACATTGCATGTCAGACTGGAAGTCATGGCGGTAGGATTATATGCACCCCTCCCTGCGAAGATTACGTGAGCAGTGAGGTCGCCAACGTCCTTCGGCGAATTCACAGCGACGGATATGCCCCTTTGCTGCCTGCGGGAACTTGCAAGCAATCTGCAGGGTTTATTGCGCTGCAGATTTGCCATCCTACTGGCATCTGACTGATTTGCAGCAGGAAACACACACAATCGCATTTTGGTGGTGGAAGGTATGAAGTAGTATCGTGAACATGAATCAGCCATAGCGGCGAAGGTCTACAACGACATGCACGACGGAAACATTCTTCGACACATGAACAACGCAGCTTGGATCCATCCGATACTGACCTTGTCTTGCTCAAAGTGGTTCGTGCCCGTGCTCTGTAGGACAGCTACAAGCTGATCGATCTCGGCAGCGTTACCCGAGCTTGTCTCAGAAAGTTTTTCATGCCTCTCCGCAGAGACAGGGGAGTGAGGGCTTCAGATGAGACTCCAGGAGCCGATCACTGGCTGAACGAAATTGGGAGCCTCTACGACTGTCGATGGAGTCGCAATCGCTCCCCGCCGGCAGAATGCTTGCGGTGTCTGGCATCTTAGTGTGATCTTAATGTTAGTGCGGCACTGCCCCGTGCGGCCTGGCCTAAAGGGAGCTTCAGACCAATGTGAGGAGCAAGTTGCAAGCAAAGAGTCAACTGCTTTGATGATGTCCAGGTGACTGGCGTGCGTTTGCATTGGCTTTCCTGGGATTGATTTTGAATGGCAGGCCCTTTGTTGCGCTGTCTTTCCAGTGCATAGTTAGCTGCTGGGGGCATCGAAGCATGATCCACCTTAGAGTCCTGATTGCCGCTAGGCAGTTGGACGTTTGGGTCCTTGTGGGCACGCCGGAGCCTCAATCCAGGCAGGTAGTTTTCAGGATTTCGGGTCCACGAGTTCAGAACAGGCGATGTCGTTTTACAAAAGCCGAAAACTTCAATGTGCAATCTTCGCAGCCTTGCAGCCGTTGTCGTGGCTGCGTAGCCACGGCCTTGAGTTTGTACCGAATACAGTCAGCAGTATCAGCTGGAGACGACTGTTGAATTGTGAGCGATCACGCCGACTGCACAACGTGCGATGCCACGGAGACTCAGGAACTCTTGCATCAAAGCGAGCTCGGGACTGGAGTGCTCCTGGTCCTCACCTAGTGATCAGGCGGGACCGAATTGCGTCATTCGTGCATCGCCGATGTCCCAAGCCCCCAGTGCAGTTGTCGTCAGGTGGCCTTCATTCCGCAAGATGTTGAGGATTTGCTTGCCGAACATCGGGGACTCTGGGCCGTGTCAGAGGAGCCGTCCTAGACAGATTGTAATAATTGTGCCACGCTCTCTGCACTCTTTGCACCTGCATGCACCTACAATCGACTGGAATGAACTTCATGGCAGGAGCGAGGCATCCGCCAGGCGTGCAGCTTGTCGGGTGTTCAGTGTGCCCGGCGTCGTCCAGGAACAATTTTCAGTGCTCTCCGCATTGAGCGTGGCGAGCAAAAGGCCAAAGGCTGTTTAAGCTTGTCTCGTGTCGGTGCAGGTGCTTCTTGCACTATTCGCACCGTGCAGCTTGCCTGAGCGAAGATCTTGCTCTTTTCAGTTTGCGAGAGACTGCTCGACTATGTTGTCAGATTGTCAAATGTTGTCAGCGGAGAATACATGGCAGTGATACCCAGCATTTTACTTCTCCCTAAATGCTATTTTCACCCAGTGCTATGGCAGCTCAAGTACTGTCGCCGCGTATCTGTCCTCGCATATCTGCACGCTTTCAGGGTCCAGCCAGTCTTTCTGCTGAGGTGTCGACGACCGAGTTGTTTGCCAGAAGCTTTGGGCGCTTTCTCTGAGCACATTCTGAGCAGCGCTCACAGATGGAGGTCCGGCACAGCATCTCTTCTTGCCCTACGCTTGCTGGTACGTGTAGAGCAGAGTGACAGCCGGATGGCTGCGGTTACTGAAAGGACTTAAAATGGATTCCTTGCATGCCTATCTGACTCTCAGCTACAAATGCACGAGACAAAGTTTCAGTCTGCGCTTCTCTTTTGCTGCCTGTCCAAGGTGGCATTGTAAATTTATGTACTCGAAAGCATTAGACACACCCCTTGGAGGAGCCAAGAGTGGAGTTAGTTCTGAGCACTGCGGAGTCAAGGCTTCAACGTCTTAGGACTGTTTGTCTCTTGGCATCCTCGGCTGGGATGTACCCGAATCAGGTGCACGTCTTATTTGAATCTCGGAATGCCGCAGCGATGCAAGCGATTGGGCAGACCGGGGGCGGGCATGGGTTGGCCGCCTTCGACTGAAACGCTGCAAGACTGTCGTTTTACAAACTTTTGGTCGATCTGGTATCATGAGTAAAGGGCCTTATGAAGCATTACGCCTTGCTTTCCGCGTGGCTGCCCGGATTCACTGGCTTGGACTGAAACCATCAGCCAGCTGGTACTGATGCTACAGTGGTAGGTGGAGCCCAGTGAAGCGGCTTGATTTCGATGTCGATTTCCCGGAGGATGCGCGCAGATGGGAAGCAACATGCCGACATTTTCAATCCAGCATTCAACAAGGATCGCGCGGGCCTTCCATGACTTTACTAAATACCAAAAGAATACCTCCATGCTTAGGACATGTGTTGCACAACGCCGCTTGCTGTGCAGCAAGCAAGCTGCGCGCCGGCTGGCTGCGAGAGTGCTGCTGGCGTACAAAACGATGTCTACTGTAGACGACGGTGCAGCTGAAGCAGCCACGGCTCAGGCATGATTAAGGGCCATACGATCAACAACCATCATCCAGCAGAGTCGCAGATACATCAACAAGAATCAGCAGCACTGACATCCGGGTTCGAGGCAAGAGGTTCCCACCCCAATCCTCCTCGCAGATTCACGTTTCGCATCATCATGTCAGAGTCCAAACAATTGCCAAGGGACTTTCTGCTGAGTGCATGCGTTTGCACCGGAAGGGTGAAGAACACCTTCGTCGAAATTGGACCCATGCCGAAGGACGAGGTGCGTTGCTCTGCCACACTGTAACACTGCAAGGCTTAAGGCTTCGATCCGGAGTTATCTGCTTCAGCCGTGATGAGTAGGAGATCTGTAGTGAGGGAGCTCTGTGTGCGGGATGTACGATGATACTGCACGTATCGCCGCTGCTCCAGGCTTTGCAGGTGACGGTGCTCGGGAGACATTCTTAGGGCCTTTTCAAGCACGTCCAGTGCATCGCGAGCTTTGTAGTGACAAACTAGACGTCTGCATGGTGCACGCTGTCTGATCGCTATCCTCTACTGGTACGACATGTGCCTAGTCTGAGAGATCCACAAAGAGCAGAATTCTTCTGGTAGTAAATTAGCAGCCAGAGGTCAGCGCTCCTGTCCCGAAAATCATTTATACACTTGCTCAAGCCATTGGTCGCGTGACCAACTTTTCTGTTTCAGCATGGCTTTCGCGGCGTTGCAGGCCGTCCCGTCCCGATCACACCTGCGCAGCTTGCCGTTCGCACTGCCGGAGCCTGGCAGGTTTCCGTCACGGTGATCGTGCTCACGGCGCTCATGTTCAACATGTTTAGAGGAGCTTGCATCACATGTGCTCTAGTTTGCCTTTTGGCTTCAATCGTGGGTTCGGGTTCGGTTGTGCCGGGGTTTGCTTACAACGTGCATGTGCAAACGAAGGTTTCGCATGCAAGATGTCGCGAAAGTTGGGGCCACTCGTACGGCAAAGCCTCAGCCTCGAATCTCCGTTGTTTGAGGATCCCAATCCTCCACTTGGTGGGGCCGTTGCCTGGCTGAACAAAGGCTTAGAGTGAGAAGGCGCAGGTCCGTCTACAAAAGGCGAGTTTGATTTCACTGATTGTTTATGGGGGGTGGCATGGTACTGAAGGCATTGAAGGCTTGAGGCTAGAGACTTGGAGTGTCAGGCATCTAGACCCGTGCATCTCAGGATACCTGGTCTACCCGGCCACATATGCACTGACCTCGGTGTTTCATCCGAGACGCATTTTGCCATCATTGATTTCTGAAGATGGTAGATCGCCAAACTTGTCGTTCCGAAATGCCAGGTGCTGGCAGTCCAGGTGGGTGCCACTCACATGCTGTAGGGGGCACAGTTTCAGCATCTTGTCGGCGAGTGCCGATGCAAAACTTCAGCGTTCTTTTTTCTTCGATCGTCCTTTTCCTGAGTGATGGCCATTGCGGTTGCTGTTGACAGTTGATGCAAGGTATGTAGAACCTTTCCAGACTACAAGATGAATTTGACTCTCTCGCGCCCAGGCCGATGCTCATCGCCGGCACTCTGCTGCGTTATCTCGTGTGAGACCTCAGTTAACCTCGGTTGTCGTAGATCCAGCCTTCAAAAGCACAGTACGTGATCCTTCATCATGCAGGAGCAGCCTGCTTCGTGTTGGTATCGCGATGTCTGTCTCTCCGTGCATCAGTGCAAAGACCAGAGGTGAATCTGATGTTCACCGCTCTGTCAAAGTTGGACGCTTTTGCTGAACCGGTTCCAGCCCAAGCTTGAACAGAAATGGTTTGACTATATATGACTACTTTGATTTCTCCAGCTCACATGGCAGAAAGACAGGCCCGAATGTGTCAAGACAACTGCACAGTTGAAGGGCGAGTATCCGATAGAAGACTCAGCTTCGGTTGCAGAAACCTGTTGTTGGCAATCTGTGCCAGGTGCGCATCCATAGGACGAATCCACCCGCAGAGCAGCACGAGCGCGAGCTGGACTTGTGCAGGGATTTTCTTGTGTCATCATCGTTGCAGTGGCGTATGTATATGGAGCTGCAGATGGGTGCTTGAGCTTACATGGCCTTCATAGTGGCTGCTTGATCTGATGCTGCGCGAGGACTGGGATGGACCGGTCATTCTTTCGCCGACTGCCTTTGTCTTGGTCGGGGAGCCCGAATCTGCCTATCCGCCTGTTGTATCTGGAAAGTTTTCGGAAGCGAAACCACCTTGATTGATCCGTGTCTGATGTTGTCATCTAGCAGCCTTCGTCAAATGACACCTGGCTCCAAGACACCTGAATTTCCGTTCAAAGCGGAAGCCAAGATTCAGGGGAGAGCTTGGCTGCTGGGCCTCGGCCATGACTTTTCCGGGAGTCTCTTGGTTCCGGACATGGTCCCGCAACGAAGATTCGCCGCAACAAGCCTATTGGGAAGCCTATAGCATACTATAGCCTATAGCTTTTGCTATCCGCCAGACTTCCATCGTGAGTGGAGCGCCCAGGGAGTCCGCACACAAATCCGTGCAAAATGCTCGACTCTGCGTTCCCAAGGTCGATGCTGTGACGCCATGGCTGAGGACAGCCGGGACCTCGGCACAGGAGGACTGCAAACTGCAAACAGTCTTTCCAGACTCCTGGTCGCACTCAACCTAGTGTGGTGGTAGGGCGATTTTCGTCGTTGATTGACCAGCTTCGCATTTGCGCCCAGACGGTGCCACTGAGCTGGTCAAACATCGCAGATCCTCGGCAGCAGCGAGAGCGGAGTTGTGGTTATGGCAGGTTCAGGGTAGACCTCATACCGGCTTGCTTCGTCGTGCTCTGTGAAGCAGAGGTGTGCTTCCTTGCGCATTATCTCGTGGTTGTCGAACCCTGAGATCTGTGCAATCGCTGTGCTGCTTTCTGGCTTCCATGCTTTCAGCGACTGTCAACCTGCTAGGAGCCGCTCTATTACCTTTTTCACCGGTGGCTCCACACCCCCGCAGTGTACAAGGCCGTGGGCAGCTGGCAAGGCCGTAAACATCCTCCTAGTGGCACCCTCTCTCTCGCAGGCCTCGCACGTGCATCACCACAGCTCAGTGGTCACGGAGGCCAGGGAAAACATGTCACCCGACCTGAATGTCGAGCTAATCCTCACGAGGCCATCTCGGGCACTTCGCATCCCATGCTGGAGACCCTAGGCACGTGCTGGGTGGGGTCGCGGGTCTGGTGCCCAGTGCAAGCTTCTGCCCTGAAGCAGCTGAAGGCTACCTGGCTAACTTTTCCTTCCCGTGCGGGTCCTCAGCTTTAGGTTCTACAAGGACCAAGCCCAGTCGAAGCTCTGGGATCACAGATTGCCGTTCTGCTTTGCCTTCGCTGCTTGCACAGATGATGAGCCATGCGAAGCCCAAATAGCTTTGCTCAAGATCGGGAATGCGTTTCCCGGAGTCAGGCATGCACGCCTGCATGAGTTCTGGCACGAGCTTGGCCAGCTATGTCCATGAAGAGCTAGTCACTTGTATGGAAAGAGACAGAACTTCCTTACACTGCCCAGCGATGATGGACAAGCATGGTTTCGCTCGATTTCTGGACAGATCCTTGGAGGACTTCAGGAGGCAGCTGCTGGATGTATATCCAGATTCAGCGGCCGTGCAGTCAGGCCATGTTTAGCCTCACTGCATTTTGATTAGGGGTGGTTGAGAGTTTGGCATGGGGTCCGTAGCTGAAGATGGTGTTGAAAGGCAAGGATGCTGTTGACCTTAGACTGTAGTGCCGTAGCACCTGCTCACTTGTTTTTTGGAGTACTTGAAGCCCGGCATTAAAGCGGCAGCAGATCCGAGGCACTCCGAACATCCTGACACAGTCTTTCTGAGCCACGGCGATGACAGGCGGCAGATGTGGTTGGGATCTGAAACGCAGAGTTTGGGCTTCAGCCAACAGTACCCAGACAAGCGATCCAGTGATGCGATGCTCAGAAACATTTGCGTCGATGGTATCAGGAGTGCACTTCTTCCAAACAGCGAGAGCCCCAAAGGCGTAGTCGCCACAAGGCTCGTTCCAGCTCCCGCAGCGCCAGCCATCAGCTTTGACTTGATGGGATTACCGCCCGGGAGGCCCTCTTCTGTGGCACTTCCACAAAAGGTGACGTCGCCCATTGGTCGTCAAAGCACGACACAAAGCTCGGTGAGCGGCTTACCAGCTGATCTGCCCACCTTCGTATACGATGTCAATGTACACCTAGAGCGTGTCTGCGTTGCTTTCTTTGTTGTTTTGTTCCTGATCAGAATCTCCACGGGGGTACTTAGGCATGTCGTGCCTGAAAATGTTCACCTTTGTTGTGTTGCATTGAAAATCTGTGTGAATTAGATATCTCCACAGATGTATGGGTGGACATGTATACCTGCTGGTACGCAAACGTATTCATACATGATGGTTGACTGACAAGAACGTTACTCTACTCCGGTTCTATTCAGTTTTCTGCCTATGGATCAGAAAGCGAGAGAGAGAGAGAGAGAGAGAGAGAGAGAGATGAACGAAGATATACCTGGTCCTGCCCGATGTTTGGTCTGAGACCGAGGGGCGCCTTGCCAGAAAGGAGAGCCTGCAACGATCCTTGCCATCTGGCAGCGCAGCCTGGCCACGATCGGCGAACAGAGGTTTTTTTGGCCAGGCGTTTTTTGTTATTGCTTTGGCCTGCGGCAGGCAGAGCGCGCGTTGCAGCAGCGGCTCCAGCTTCGACTCGGAGCCCGTCGGGTGCTGCTATGATGTGCTGTGTCGCCTCTGAGTAGTTCGACAGCGCCATGTGCAGCTGCTGCTGTCAGGAGCTCGCACAGGGCAAGCCATGATGTCTGCAGAAGACTTGCACAATGCTGTGGTTTCATTGGGACTCACTCGCTATACAGAGCAGGACCAGGGGGCAGCCTCGAAGATCTTGGAAGCCAAATGGTCACATGTGGCTTTGTATGCTGTTGAGACAGGACATGACCGTCTTCTTGATGCTTGGCTCATGGTTGATTTGTTACAGGTCGGATGTGCTTCAGTCCCGTCTAGAAGAAAGCACGGCTGATGTTATTCAGCCAATAAATAGCTACGTCCAATCTTTTGCTTCATGTGTGGTTCATCCAATCCTCCGAGTCAGGAATCAATTGGCTGACTACATTCAACTTCGCTATGACGATGCACCAAATCGAAGCTCATCCAGCAGGAGCTTAAAGCGACGCTTAGATACATTGGGATCTGATCTGACCTGACCCATTCCTGAGACACGGAGTGGTTGAACCTGCAAGGCCTTTAGGAAACAAGCCTAGCAACAGCATGCTTCCACCCGAGACCCCAAATCCTGAAGCCTCAAATGATGCACCCAAAAATTCCGAGCCGAACTTTCTTTGTATCCGAGGAGAGTCTTTCGGCGAGATCGGCTGGGTGTGGCCTTCGCAAGATGCTTGGCTGGGTGATTTGACGGAGGGGTCGAAAGGTGCCCTTCTTTCTCTAGTGCTGAATCGCGAACTCCATCAGATTAAACGGTTGTTTCTTGAGTAAATCTGGCATAAACCACTCAAACTTGTTTGGGAGCTTATTGGTTTTACTGGGACACAAGATGACATGATTCCACCATCTACCCCGATCGCAACTTCTTATTAATTATAATTGAGCACACACTACAATGCTGAACACTTGTTTCAGATCACCTCGCAACTCGAAGTTTTGGTACGAGAGCAGTGTCCTGTCATCCCGTTCCGCACGTGCACACCCTAGGATGATGTTGCATGGTTGTGGCGTCTCATCCCAGTTTGAATCAGACTCCTATGTTCGACCTAAGCACGAGCAGATATGGATCTCCAAAAACCGCAGCACCGGTCTGTGCGCAAGGAGACGGAGCAATCCCCGGAAGTGTCGGTGTCGCTGTCGATTCCCTCGTCCTTGCAAGGCAGCGTATTCCGAACAAGAGCGTGCGGGCTTCGCTGTGTGGCTTGAGGGCTCTGATCCCTTCAGGGCAGCCGAACGCAGCTGCTTTGGACACGCTGAGTGGTGGTGGTGTGGCACCGGTGGAGGCTTTGATGCGGGTCTTTTTGGCTGAAGACCGTGTGTCTTGGCTCGGCTTGGCCTCACCAAGGTGAACATGTTCGTGATCTTGCTAGTCACATCATGTGCAACCACAGTGACTACAGCAGCGTCCGACTGGGCCCAGTTTGGGTGGCGTTTGACGGAGCTTCCCAGGATATTGCTCGACGTAAGATCTTTGACTCGCGATGCAGCAAGCAGTACAAGGCCATGAAGGAGAATCCTGAAGAGAATGGCAAAGTTTTCTTAGAGTCTTTGACAGATTCTGGTTTGTTAAGATGGGTAGCAACTTCCATGCAAGTTCTTGTCTTTGTCCCGCGGTTTTTGATGTGAAGTGTGCCATTTGCTCAGGATCTTGTTGGCCAGCGACACGAATCGTTTGGTCGCCGAACTCACATTCGTCCGCATCAACGACTTAGCCGTTCCTCGAAATGGCAAGTAGCGATTCGCGATGACTTTTTTTTTTCAATCCCTAGTTCGCGATTCGTTTTGCCGTCGATCGCCACAAACGCAGGAAGGTCAGTGAATGACGTCCGGAATCCCGCATGCTGTTTTAGGCAACATGCATGTTTCCTACAGGTTTGTATGAACCTGGACTACTGTATGCGATCTAGACTTGACTGACTGTCCCGTATTGCGTAAACGAAGTCGCAGTTCGACCCAAGGCGCCGCCGGAGGAGGCGCTTTTTTCCTGACTCTTGAAGTTTACACGCGCTTCGTTCGACAAGTCGTCGGTGGCTTTGCATTGCAGGTCTGGTAGAAATGTCGCCTTGTCGGTGGAGCGGCCATGCAAGGGTGAAGGAGTCAAGCCCAGAAGCAAGCATGTTTGCAACTTGACTTTCTGGTTTGCTAAGTTTGCTACTTGTGCAACCAAGCGCACTGCATAGCACTGCCTTTCCAGATTCGGATGGAACCACCTTCATGAGCTTCACGGCACCCCCATCCGTCTGTCTTGATCTTTCCTTGGAGGCACTTCAGCCACTGACATATCTCGAGCCACTTGTAGCCATCATGATCTTGGGCAATGCGGCTTCCTGTCTGAACTGGTTTCGTTGGTCGGTTGTGCATGTTGCAGTATGTTGGACGTTCGCCCTGGTGACGGCCAAGGTGGCCATTGGCTTTCAATCGGAGCCTTGGAGACAGACTGTTCCAGACCTTGTATCACAACGATCCCCACCACCATATCTGTTGCTGCTGCCCGCTTCGTTTCAACACCTGCTCTGCTCATTCATTGTCATCATCATCGAGGTCTGCATCGGTGTCCTCATTTTCATCGTTCTTCCGATCCTCTTGCTGCTTACCCTCAGTCCAGGTCCTTGTCATCGCGATGGGTATCATCGTCATCTGCATCTTTAATCTGCCTACCGCTGCAGCAGCGGCTGCGGCTGATGCTGCTACTACTGCTGGTGATGTTCCTGCTGATGCTGAAGTGATTTTGGTGGTGATGCTGGTGCCGCTGTTGTCGCTTCCGCTGCTCGGGTTTGGTCGAGATTGTCGTCGTTGCCGCTGCCTTTGTCGTCGTCGTCGCAGTTGTGGTTGCAGCTGGAAGCACCGAAGCGTGTGTTCACGGAGTCGTTTGCTGGTGTATGACTCACGAACACTGCGATATCACAGCGACTGCTGACCACTGGCTAGTGTCGCTATCGGTTTAGCACGTCACGTAAAGCGAGTATCGCTGAGCAGCCGCGGTGCCATCTTTGATATGGCATGCCCTCAATTCTTTATTTCCAGGATCCGGAGTACACAGATTGGTCTGGGTGGACCACTGTGGAGGCGATTTTTGCTGGCTGGCTGGTCATTGAAATCGTGCTGCGATCGTGGCTGGTGGGGTGCTTCGCCTACCTGTATGGGGAGGCTCCCTGCTGCAGCAATTCTCAGGTAAGTGCTCTCGGCTTCGTTACCGTGCAGAGCAGTCCCCTTGCGGCAGGAGCGCTTGTGGAACTCTTTTGATGTTTGTGTCGCTATCATAGCTGGCCTGGACGTGTTCGTTTATCGCATTGGTCTCAACGAACCTTGACTTGAAGCAAGCTCTTTTACTCTCTCTTGGAAGATGCCAGCCGCTGCATCATTGCTGCTTTGAGGGCCTGGACTTGTTTCGATTTTTCGGAAGGGGCAAAGCTGCTCGGACCTGCTCGCTTTTGGGTTGCGGGGCACAAGGTGTGCACTGTCCATCAGTTAAACATGGTGATCGGGTTGAGGTTCGGGTGCAAAGAGATGTTACCTGCGATCGATTCAACCTTCGGGGGCAAGCTGGAGTCCACATCCTGACTGAACAGCAACGCAGTTTGGAATCTAAGGAGGCCACAGGTTTGTACAGCACCTGGCTCATCCGCATTTTCCGACTGATACGCTTGGTTCGTGTCACGGGCCGGCAGTCAGCAGGATCAGAGAGGTTCCTTCTTCAGGGTTCTTCAAGCAAGGATCTTATTGTCTTTTGAGGATCTATCTGGGGTCCTCATTTTTGGAAGCATTTTTGAAACCCCCTCTGGGATTCGGTACTAGCATGGATGGGTCCAGACTTGGCACCCTTGCAGTCCCACCTCACGTGTTTGCAACATCTGGAACGGTTCCACAAATGCCCTAAAGAAAGCGGCTCAGACGTGTTAGGGTCCTGGTTTGGTGTCATAGAGCTGATCTGGGCCGATGCTGCATCGATGTGCACGATGTTACTCTCCGATGGCTTTCGCTTCTTCCACTGCTCAGGTCATGAGAGTCTTCCGCCTGCGGTTGATGCGGGACAGCTTGGCAGCAGATTCAGCAGCATTTCGGCCCTTTTCTGCAAAAGTCGAGCCAGGATCTCCGTCTGATGGTGAAGGGCTTGCTGGCGGGCGTGTGGACGCTAGTCTTGTCCTTCCTCCTCCTTTTTCTGATTCTGTACGTTGTTGCTGGTTTCGCGACGATCTTAATCGGGAACGATGCAAAACTGCTGGACTTGGGTTTGCAGCCCCAGTTCCGGACAGTGCCGGATTCGATGTTCACGGCCTTCCGGTGCTTCACCGGTGACTGTAACTCTGACTCTGGGGCACCCATCGCATCGTTGCTGGCTGCAACGTACGGCGTCCCCTTCATCTTCGGCTTTGTCAGCAGCTACCTTCTCGTTGCCTTGGGCATTTTTAATGTCTGGGGCCCGGGCCTGGTTCGCTTGCGGGTGTGGATTTGAGTCTTGAGCACATTTTTGGACATTTTTCTGTTTACTACTACCGCGCCAGGTCATCCTCGCTGTTTATGTTGACATCACGATGAAGGCCGCGAAGGAAACTGAGGCGCTCACAGCCGAGCAGCACTTCCGTGAGTCGATCAGAGTCGCTCGCACAACCCGGGAGCTGCTGAAGCGCTTCGCTGCAGCGCATCGCTGGCTAGAGCAGCACAAGGATGAAGACCACGAGGAAAAGACGATCGACATACTAGACACGGCGAAGAGCTCACGCTTCAGCGACGAGGACGTGCACGAAGACTTGGCCATCAACAAGGAGTGCTTCTTGATGGCGATCCAAGATCGGGAGGTGCCCAGCTCGCCTGGTCACACGTTCTGTCTGAAGCAAAGACCTTGCCTTGCAAGGTGCAGCATCTAATGAACCAGTTGGATCTGCCTCCTGATCGCGCCAATCTGTTCCTTGGCAGAATTCAGTCTCGCTCTCGGATCTCGTCTCGTGTCCTACCACGTATCGTACCGCGTATCGTGCGCGCCCCGCCGCCAGGTTCGAGATCATTGATGCGGACGACTCGGGGGCTTTGCACATCGCAGAGCTTGTACATGGATTACTGAAAGTGCGCGGCGAGGTGAAGTCGCTTAACAGAGTTAGGTACAGCTGACAGTCAACTGGCAAGGACAAGCAGCATATAGCAGCATTTCACATGTGCGGAGACTTAATGAAGCAACTCGCACGTCCAAGGAAAAGCGACACTGTGGCTGCGCTACTCGCAACCAAGGCCGTGCAGGAGATGGTGCATGTGCCTCGGACCTCGTGGCAACATGTTGTTGCAGTGCGTTTGTTCTTTTGTAAGCTTCCCAGAAGCTTTAGTTATGTGTGGTGTAGTGAGATGCGCCTTCCATGTCTCAGGAGATGCAACAAGAGCAGAAGGCTGACATGGAATACCTGTGTCGGCTCGTTCGCTCGTCGTCAGCGCCTGCGCGGACTGCGCAGGTGTAGCCACCACATTGTTTCAGAGCCGTGGTAATGGTCTACAGGGCCAATCCAGGAAGCGCTTCCTGGGATACCCTGCGAAATCTCTCGTACTGCGGCAAAAACGGTTCAACTGCAGTGGTTATATAGGAGTGGAAGACAGATGCAAGCGACACTTGCAATAACGTGAAGCTGCCGTCAGCGACATGTTGGGGAGTGAACCCCGCTGCGCCTTGTCATGCTTCTCCCCGAAGCAACACGATCTCGCAACACCGCAAGCAAACCTGAGTCCCTGCACAAAAAAAGCAAGGTTTCTGGTGCCCGGCTGGTTTGGCTGCTTCTCACCCGCTTTGGCCCCTCGGAAGAAAGCTCTCACGGTGTGTTGCAGCTGTCGGCGTCGCTCCCGAGATCCCGATTTACTTTGTGTTCTTCGACATCATGAACTGCATTGGCCACTGCAACTTTGAGTGCATGCCAACTTGGGCACAGGCACGCAGCCGTCGTGGTTGTTGTTATGACGTGCTTGCTTGTGCGAAACATGTGTGCATGTGTATCCCTCAGTCAGCCTTCTTGCGCAGACCGGGCCGCTGAAATATTTTGTCTACACGTCCTCGTACCATTCCCTGCATCACAGCCGGGAACTCAACGTGTGACTAAGAGGACCCACGAAGACGCTAGACGCTCCAGTGAGAAACCCAGGCAAGTACAAGTACAACTACTGCCTCTTCTGTCCGATTTGGGATTACCTCGGCGGCCTGCGTCTCAGCTTCAGAGCCATCGCCGCCGCCGTCGGTGTTTGGACCTTGTGCCTTTGTGCTTTGCGGCGGAGGCACCGTTCATTCGACGACCGAGTCCCTGCACCAGGAGGTGATGGGACTATGGGACTCTTGAGCCCTGTGGCAGGCGCTGTGATGTGAAAGCCATGGCAGGTCTTGCACCAGAAGAGCCGACAGCTCGACGTTGTGTTCCTGGCGCACGGCCATGGCTTGCACTCCATGCCAGAGTCCCCAGCCGAATCTGAAGTTTTTGTCTCGGATCTGCTTGGCTCTAGCCAGGTTGCATCTGCCATGGCTTCGTCCCAAGACGGGGAAGGGGCACCTGTCTCGTGCAGATGTGACTGCCAGTGGCACCGGCTGAGGCTGTCTCCCTTCTTGGCGTCCCACCAGCACGAGCAGCGATGGTGGATGCTTCCACTGCAGCCATTGACCTTCCTCTGGGCAAAAGCCTCGGAAGGGCTTTCGCAGAGCGAAAACGGCGCAACGGCTTTCGTTTGGGTGTTCTCCCCACCTTCAGGTGCTTTTCTGCCGGCACTGCCTGTCAACCGCCTGCGTACAGCGCACTGAGCTTAGCCAACGAAGCCATGCACAGACTTTTCAAACATGTGACAGACCATCTTAGTGCTTGGGACTGTTCTACTGTATCTCCTTACCGGTTTCACAGCCCCGACATTTCTGCCACTCTGCTCGATCCACGATGCTCTCCATTGCTTTTCCTCCCATGCTTTGTTTCTACATCCAGCCCTCGCGCTTCTACATCCGTACTCGTACAATGCTGGTCGGTTTTCCACTGTTGCGAGGCTATCACTACCGTAGCACTCAGTGTGCTACCTGGCGGCTGGGCGGCATGCCAGACTGCGTGAAGCATGTTGGTCCTCGCCCACGTAAACAGAAGAAAAATGGCATGAAGGTGCTTGCCTGTGACGGGCCACTTCTACTTCATGAAGTCGCACAGGCAAAGTCGTTTGTTCAGAAGGCGGAAGAGACAAACCGTCAGCAGTGGCTCGTCCCAGGAAGCCGATCTTTGACATGCTGGTGCAGGCATGCGAACAGTGAACGACGCTGTCCGACAGTTTCAGGGCTCCAGGGCAACAAAGAGGCCAGTTGCTGCAAGCATCGGGCGCTATCTGGAGGCTGTCAAAGACGCAGACGATGCCGGCGTGAAGTACCTGGGATTGGCACACCTGAACAAGGCGCCCCGGTACCGTGTGCTCACTCGGTCTTGGAGCTGCAGAAGCGGAGAAGACGAGCAGACTGCAGGCTGAGTTTCTGAACCAAGGAGGCGTCGGCCTGAGGATCCTCAGAGTTCTCACTCCCAGGTGTGCAGTTCATGTTGTAAGGAATATACTGCTGACAGGAAGCCTTACGTTGTGTACGCAAATGGCTTTTGTCACTCGGGCCCGCGGGCGGTTATTACATCGTTCTTCAGCTTGACAAGGCAAAGACCTTTTGCCACTCCTGGGCGATCGGAAGATTCGCATCGTGCATGGGAACACGCTCACGGCCGCTGCAGTTTGGCAGGTACGGTCTGTAGTGATCTTTGCATCGGAATCCGAACATTTTGCCCAGCCAAATCCTCGCAGGCTCTCCAAGAGCACACACAGCCCAAGGAGACCACAAAAGCTAAGAGGGTCCCACGAACGGATCAGTGTCTCGAGAGTCAAGTTCCAGCTTTCCGCTCCCTGCGCCCTGGTTCTCTCCTTTCTCCTTGTTGCACTTTTTTTGTACGACAGCCTTCCGGCTCTTGGCTCGCGAGGATGAGATCGTCTTTGCCGGATCCACCTCGAAGATTGGAAGAGCTCTGTGCATTCTCCTGGCACGACGTGGCCACACCGTAGCTGCCCCAGAGCGCTCGGCAGCGCAAGGACCTGCAAGGAACGCCCCCGAGATGCCTCCATGCTCGACTGAGACAGGTCAGGATGATCACCGGCTGTGAGGAGCGCTTCCAGAAGATCAAGGGAGAGGCGGTGGTGCGTGAAGACGGGAAGAGAGGGATGTGCAGACTCGTGATGCCAGTATGTAAGTGCCCTTGCATCCGACCGAAGCACGTGGTCAGCTGTGGCTGCCGTTTGGACCCCTGTGCAGGCAGGGGAGTTCGGGAAGAACCTTGTAAGGGCCGGAGCCACATACGTGCCGACATTTGTGTTGTCTCAGGTGTGGTCGTTTCTTTCCCTGTCTTTCACTCTCTCTTCTCTGTCTCTCTCTCTCGTCTCTCTGTCTATCTCTCTCTCTCCCTCTCTCTCGCTCGCTCTCGCTCTCTCTCGTTCTCTCCCGTTCTATCTCGTTCTCTCTCTGTCTCGCTCCTCGGTTAGATAGCTCGGTATATAGTGATTGGACCCCATTGACCATATCATATATATGTATGTATATGTACATATGTACATATGTATATATGTATATATATATATGTATATTTCTGTATATATATATATATACACATGAGATATATGTTCCAAGAAGCTGTGAGTTTCTGCTGTGCTTGGAGAGGCAGGTCTCTCTCTCTCTCTCTCTCGCTCTCTCTCTCTCTCTCTCTCTCTCTCTTCCTCTCTCGCGCTCTCTCTTCCCCTTTCGCTCTGTCTGTCTCTCCTTCCCTTGTCTGGCATGTTTCTCTTGTTGTGAATCATCCTGATTTAGCGAACCCCGGAAGCAGTTCTGGAATGATACCCAGAGTTTCGGACCAAATGAGCCAAGGTCCAGACATACGAAGAAGGTGTGGGCTGCGGCGTGTGGATCTTGGGCAAGTGGATGGAGCCAAAGCGGATCCAGGCCACAATGGAAAGATGTCATGACACAAGAGAGAGTTGGCCTTCTGGGGAGGCATTAATTCCCCCTTCTTCACTGATCATCGACTTCGCTGTTCCACACGTCAGCGAGGACTTCTTCGCCGTGGGGCCGTGGGGCTATTGGCTGGTATCATGTCTTAAAATCTGAGTAGTGGCTTCGCTATGCTTCGCTGGTTCGAAGGAGGTGGCAAAGGACTACAGGTACGTCAACGGTGCAGCGTTGAGCTATAGCCCTGGCCTTAGCTCGCGTCCGTCGCCTTCCGAAGTCGAGGACACCAAGCGACGCAGGACTGAACTCACTTGACTTCTGGTCTTGCGAAGGTTTGAAAGAGACGGACCTGACCTTTTGTCACGACGTGCCAAACACGGTTCCGGCATGCTTGGCGGCAAAGGCCTCAGGATTCAGAGATGCGGGCAATGGGGGCAGTCACGGAGGATTCGATGTCCTGTCTAGCGAGATGCGTCCATTGAGATCGACAGCCGAGGCAGCCGTCATCCATGCTCGGGAGGACACCCAGAGACACGAACTCGGCGAGGCAGGAAGACTTGGTGCTTCGTCATGGTCATCCCGAACATGAAGATTAGGATCAGGTCTTCTGTGCTTCTTGTGCATCTGCTTCCAGCACCAGGTGGAGGTGGACGAGGTCGAAGGATGGTGGGACAAGGCTGCCGTGCTTTGGCTTTGCAGCCCCTTCGAGGCGTTGCGAAGGAGGGGCTCGAGGCATCGCCTTGTGCAGGCTTCCCGCCATGGCTTTCGCCTGGCCTACCGGGAGCCGAACGGGAAGCGGGCCGGGGGGCCCAGGTGGCCCAGGCGTCCCAGGCTTCGAAACAAACTCGTAGGCTTTCTTTGTGTTTCCGTCGCAACTGCCATGTAACAGCAGAAGGTGAAAATGGGGATTTTTACCTTCCGTCAGTAGCAGTGACGGCCCGACTGTAGGCGAAGGTGGAAGGTGCGTGTTCGAAGCGTGGCAACCAAGGCCAAGACCGAGTAGACGTGCGGATGGCATGGCCTCATGGCACAGCACAGCTGCAAACTGCAATTCTGCTGTGTCTAAAGAGCAGCTGCCTGGACGAAGAGTCGCCGGGTGCTAGAACCTATATAGGTCATACATCCTTTTCAGTTCAATGCAGAAGAATGGCCGCAGGCTCTGAAAACAAGCCAGCGACTCTTTCGAAAGCACAGGCAACAAGATTGTTTCAAGTTTTCTGGGCACTTTTAGCAGCCCATCCGTGACAGCAATTCTTGAATTGTTTTCTGGGTGCCACCTTCCACAATGAGTCGATCAACTTCGCTTTGAGTCTGTCGCTGCTTGGCTTTACCCAATTGCATACTGTTTGCTGCTTGGCCCCTGGGATTAGCACCAGCGTGTCTGGAAGGGCCGAAGTGAAGCCGCTCCATCTTATGCGAGGCAGCAGCAAGGTTTCTTTAGGCACAGAGTTTAATGCTCTGAGAGCGTTGGCCGTCCTTGACGGTCTTCGACTTTGACCGGCCCTTTACGACCAGCTACACCGAACATTTTTCGATTGAACAGCATTCTCGAGGTTTTCGAAGAGAGACCTCCACCTCATGTCGGGGCGATGATCTGGTATTTCACCCGGGAATCGATCTATTCAAGTCATTGCCCTGATAAATTCCTTGTAACAGCGCCTGAAAGCGCCCGTACGGGCGGCAGGCACAGAAAACGCGCAAGCTAGCATCCAGATGCATCAGCAAAAGCTCTCAGTCTCAGGGTGCCGACGAGGCATTTGCACGGGGTAGAGCTGCTTTGAAACTGAAACTCTGACGTTCCCGCGCAGTTTAGCTACCTCCGTGCCCGCCGGTCCCGCAGCGAAGCCACAGAGTTGCTGAAGGCACGGGCCGGGTGCTCTGCGAATCTGAGGAGACATGTTCGTGTCCTGCAGGCGAGTTACGTATTTACCGGGCAGTGCTTCCGGTGTTTGCTTTTCTGTATCAAGGCCAATGCACAGTGTAGTACATAATAAGTTATTCTCGCGCTGATGCACCTTTCGTGGCTCAGAGCAGTTGCCTGCTAAAGTCACGCAGACAATCCATGTTGTAGCGCGTTGCCCCGCAAGTCGATCGGTATGCATGGCAGTCAGCAGCTACTGTGGCTGCACGTAGTTTTGTCCAGAAACTTCCAAACGGAAGCTCGGGATCAATCGCGGTTCATGTGACGCTACAAGCCATTGCGCTGTGCTGGCTCTGCAGTCAATGAAGCTCCTGATGCTCCCAGACTCTTTGCAAGCGTTTATGCTCGTAGACATGCGTCGAGATTGGGATTCAGTTCGCCTAAGATGCTTGGACTTGGATCCTCCCAAAAGCTGAAGCGACTCTTCACGAAGCTGCAGCTCTCCTGACTGAGACAGACAAAGAAGGATTTGGATATGTAGAATGGAAGTAAAGAGTAGAGAGTTGATGGGGCTAGGATGGAGACAAAGAGCAAGTGCTGTAGAGGTAGCAGAAAGATATCCAGAAGGAGACACAGCGATGCAAACGTGCCTAGTGGGGGTGGTGGGGCATGTAGCTGTGTTCGGTAGATGCATCGCGGGAGCGAACGCCACCCGGGGTGATCCTGGGTGCACTTACAACCAGTCTTATCGCCGTTCTTGCGCTTTCAGGTCCTGATCACGCTGACATCCGATGCTTGGCCAGAATCTGGTCTCCATATCAAAGTCACTCTTTTGCTTATGGCTTCGTGGCAAATTCTGCCTCGACGAGAGTCTACATTGGATACATGTTGCATCACACCAGCTGTCAACGGACACGCGGATCGTCGTGCAGTCGCGCAGGCACTGGGCGAGCATGTGGCAGGAGTCGATGCCAAGAACGCAGCCTTGCATAACGAGGCTTGCGCATGATTTGAGGACAGAGGAACTGCAGCGAGACTTGCCGGAAGCGGCGTGAGTCAGGAGCGGCTTCTCCAAACACTCTCCTTCGAGGAGGCCTGAAGTAGGCAATCCAAGAAACTCACAGAGCGACCGGTCCAAGGCTCTTTAAGGTTCCTTGAAACCCCACACGGCCACGCAGTACTTCAACCCGCCCGGCAGGCTTTCGTCTCCGTGGCTGCACGTGCTCGGGCAGTGAGGCCCAGGGGCCCGGAGCCTTGGCCGCCCAGGGGCCTTGGTTTGAACTGTCGGAGAGATTATTGCTCTGCTCTCAGCATGAAAAGCTTGCTGAAAACCTGATCAATGTGGTCGGCTTCGGGTCATGAACATGACCCGAAGGCATCGCCAAACCGAGGACGAGATGCGCAGACTCCAGGCGTCGTGCAAGGAGAACGTCGCGCGGGTGGACTTGGAACCTCGGATTACAACGCCTAAGCAGACCACAACAAGATTGAAAGGTGCCCATGTGAACTAGGCAGATAGCCGAGCTTGAGGGTTACAGAAAAGCTATCTTTCGGCTAATTGTCTGCGACAGTGGACAGGGTTCTAGAGTCAAGAGAATATGTTGTAGACATGGATTGGCAGTTGCGCGATTGGACCGCCTTGCCTCGGCTGCAATTGGCAACTCGTGCGTCCCAAGGATCACGATGAGAGGCTCTCGCTCCCAGGATGCACAGAGCCAGGAAAGAACGATGATGATGATCGTGATCGTAATAATAATGTTGATGATGATGATGAGGGTGACCATGAAGGCGATAATGGGAGTGACCATGCTCATGTACCTAATGTGGGTCATGGTTACATGTCTGATCACCTTGTGCTGCGATGATGCTGAGGGTGGTCGTGCTATTGAAGACATTGATGAGGACGATGATAATGGTGATGGGCTCTGAGGTCATGATGATGACGGTGATGGTGATGACGATGACCATGACGATGATGCTACGGTTGCAGCAGCAGTAGAAGTAACAGTAACATCAGCAGTTGCATGCAGTAGCAGCAGCACAAGGAGCACCAGCAGCAGTAGCAGCCGCACTGGCCACTGGCAGTGAAACAAGTAGTCGTGGTAGTGGTAGTAGTCGTAGTAGTAGTCGCTGTCGTAGTCGTCGTCGTAGTAGTCGTAGTAGTAGTCGCAGTCGTAGTCGTCGTCGAAGTAGTAGTAGTAGTAGTAGCAGCAGCAGCAGCAGCAGTAGCAGCAGTAGCAGTAGTAGCAGTAGTAGCAGTAGTAGCAGTAGTAGCAGTAGTAGTAGCAGTAGTAGTAGTAGTAGCAGCAGCAGCAGTAGTAGTAGCAGTAGTAGTAGTAGTAGTCGTCGTGGTAGTAGTGGTAGTAGTAGTAGTAGTAGTAGTAGTCGTAGTCGTAGTTGTAGTCGTAGTACTAGTAGTCGTCGCAGTAGTCGTAGTAGCAGTAGCAGTAGCAATAGCAGTAGCAGGGGCAGGAGCAGGAGCAGGAGCAGGATTTGGAGCAGTAGCAGTAGGAGTAGCAGCAGCAGCGGCAGCAGCAGGAGCAGAAGCAGCAGGAGCAGGAGCAGCAGGAGCAGCGGGCGCAGCAGCAGCAGCAGCAGCAGCAGCAAAAGCAGCAGCAGCACCACCACCACCAGCACTGGCACTAGCCGTAGCCGTGGTGGCGGTGGCGGCGGTGGCAGTTGTAGCAGCGGTAGCAGTAGCAGTCTCCTGAGAAATCAAGACACTGCTGCTGCGAAACCACAGCGAGAACGAAAGAACTTCGACCATAATCACCATAATCACGAAAACAATATTGACAGCAACTTTCGTACCAGCACAAAAAACACTCTAAATCCAGCATCCAACAGCACGAAAGCACAACAACGCGACAGTTGCACGAGCAAGGTGATGAAGTTGAGCAAAACTAAGCCAAGCATAAGCAACAGCAGGTAGCGGTAGTCGTCAGGGTAGTGGTACTGATACTGGTGCTGGCCGCCGTACGGCTACTACCACGACTTGACAACCACGACCACGACTGCGGCTGCGGCTGGGACTGCGACTGCGACGGCTGCTGCTAGTGCTACTGCTACTGCATGCTGCTGTTACTGCTGCTGTGAACAACATTGACTTTCGATTCTCTAATTGTAGGTTTCTGGCCGATACCAGACGAGAATTTCCTGAATCGATGGATTTCTCGTTGTCCAATCGGGGCAGTTGTGTCATCCTACTCCTCCTCTTCCTCCTTCCGCTCCATCAGCGAGCTAGACCGAACTGAGGTTGGAAGAGTTCCAACAGCTACTCATGATAATGTCAAACCGACATGGCTTTTGAGATGCCTCTGTGGCACCAGTGCTTCAAAGAATCTCCCCGGCCAGAGGAGGGGAGGGATTCTTGCTGCAATGCTTCTGATTGCTGCAAGTCGCAAAAAGCATCGTGCGTCGTTGCCGACTACGATTGGGACAAAGCTTGCTTGCTGTTTCTCAGCTGAAAGACCAAGGAGGACTAGGCCTGGGCCAGAGATTGCATGCTTCCTGTGAATCTCTGGCCTCCTGCCTGAACTGGCAGGTTCCATCACCGCAGTTGGCCCCAACACGGGCGCAGCGCACTCAGTGTATGCTTCGATCAGCCCGCACGCCCGTGGGTAGCACTTCCTGTTTGCAGGCCCACCATGAATGGCACGAATTCGCCTCGGGTGGAAGCCTCATGCAATTGAGGGGCATATTTCGCGAATGCAACTGATCAGATGCAGCAGAGGATTCCGGATCCGAACATATACAGAAGCTGTCGGACCGGGTTGTTCATGCCATCTCCTGGCAGGGAAATTCCAAAGAGGCATCCTTCGTGCCCGACACCCCGTGAGAGCCTTAGTAAGACAGCATCTCATTGCAGACTTGTTTGCTGGACTGGGCAGCACCATCCTCAAGTCAATGTCCGGATGTTAATGTCGTGTCACGTTTACTGGGATGCCTGAGTGGGCGTGCATTGGCAAGGGCTTTCACTTCCGGTGCTGTGCGTGACGCAAACAAACTCCAGCTAGCTTCGCTGTTCAGGTCACCTGTGATGCGACCAGCTCCCATGGAAGGAGCTGAAGCTTGGCTCTCGAGTGCTGAGACACCCGCTGGGGCAAGCTGCGTGAGAAGCAAGTGGCTCGACTCATGTCTTG